AGGGTTAGGGGGTTGGAGGGAGCTTGGTTATAAGGTCTAATCTTTCCCAAGCATCAGCAGTGGCCCAGGTGTGGCTCTGACCTCACAAGCATCCCATGAGGTGACCCTTTTCCCCCATTTTAAAGAAGACTAAGGTACAGAGATTAGTACTGAAGGCAGTGACTCAGAGTGTAACTACTAGGGGTCCAGGTCTCATTGGCTCAATAAGCTGCCCTGCGAAACTCGAGACATGCTACATGGCCGAGGGTGAGGTGAGCATACAAGAGGCTCTTGCAGTATTTTAAAAGTTGACCCTAGATCTCTCTCTGTCTTATACCATGCTCCAAGCTCCCTTCCCACCATACTGTATGTAATACTACCACACCCTCTAATTCCCTGATCTGCTTGACTGATGAAGGGAAGAGCTAGGGAGAGAGCTGGACATCCCAGGAGGCAGCAAAATGCCTGCTGAACTATGTACATTTTTTAAAAGCTGATTCCACATAGAGATCCTCAACCAGAAAACCCTGTCATGTGCCGGAGTCTACCTCATAGTCAGCTGTTTCTAAGCTGTCCTTCCTCTCACCCTTTGTTTCCTGGACTAGAAACTTCAGCCAGTGCCCCTGAACCTCCAATGGCCTATTCTCCCATGTGCTAGTACCTCACAGAACCAGCCCCTTGATGATGACAGCCTGTGCCCGACTGTGACAGCCTGTGCCTGCACCCCTGTACCAGGGCAGCTGGCCTGGGCAAGAGTTGGCTGGCTCAGAGATGGCTGGGCCAATCTGGTCCTGGCATAACTCCACTCCAGCCTCATTCTGACAAAAAGGCCCTCTCCATCCTGGGCCTTCTAGAACATGTCATAGAGCAGATGGTGCAGGAAGATGACTGATCTCTGAACTTGAAAGCACATCTCGTGGCTGCTCTCAGCCATTCAAGGAGTGTCATAAAGGGAGGGTCTCAGTTCCTGCCTCCCCTGTGCTCAGCATAATGCCTGGTCCCTGGTCACTGTGATGGAGTTGATGTGATAGCACATTTCTTTGATCCCAGTGTCTGAGAGTCTGGTACAGAAAGACTATGGGTTGAAGGTATATATATACACATACATAAATATATAATATATATACATATATGTGTATATATATCTATATATATATACACATGCACTCATACACACACATGCACTCACATACACTCACACACACATACATTCACACACTCATACACACAGACACACACATGCACTCACACACAGAGACACACACATGCACTCACACACACAGACACACACATGCACTCACACACACAGACACACACATGCACTCACACACACAGACACACACATGTACTCATACACACAGACACACACATGTACTCATACACACAGACACACACATGCACTCACACACACAGTCACACACATGCACTCACACACACATGCCTTCACACATACTCACACACACATACACTCACACACATGTACTCACATACTTACACTCATACAGACACACACATGCATTCACACACATACACTCATACACATGTGTACTCATACACAAATGCACTCATACACACACATGCACTCACACACACACAGACACACATGTACTCACACATACACACACACACACACACACACACACACGAGCACTTGCTCGTGTGCTAACAAATACATGCAGTCATGGTTCTGGAAATGAATGCAAGGCATGGTAGATTCTGGCTGCCTCACCCTCATGGAAGCAGAAAGCTCCAACCTTTACTCCAGACTTATATGTGGGCTCTTCCTAGTTTACCCAGGAGGATGGGGCTCAACATGTCTAATTACATTGATTGATGTACAGTTCATCCCAGGAGAAACCTCGTATCTTCCTGATTCCACACACATCTCCTCCAAAGTCTCCTCTAAGGTCTTGGTCCCTAGATGGTACCTAGAACATTTAGGCCAGTCTGGTGGATAATAAAAATCCTATATTAAAGTTTAATGTATGCAGTGGGATTGGATTATCCCTAGTCTACAGACCTCACCAGAAAGACAACACAAAATCTTGACCACTACATAGCAGAGGTGACCACTGTGACTTCATCTCTGCCTTGCTCTGGTGTGTTCAGGACAAATGCCCACTGCCCAAGCTCCTCCCAGCCCAGCCATTGTGCTAGAACTGAGAGCTCCAGCCCTGACTTGCAAAGGACAGGAACAAATGATAAGTGACTTCTCAATGCCCAGATATGAGTTCACGATTCCCCAGTCCCAGGGACGATTTCCAAGTTCCACAACCAGGGAGCCTCTTGGGAAAGTCAAGAGCAGGAAGTGGAAACCAGGGGAGAGAGAGTCAGGAGAAGGGGCATCTACAGCCATCCTCTCCCTCCCTCTCCACAGGAAACAGATACAGGTCCAGAGAGCTCTGAGGCAGAACAGCCGCTTGATAGCCAGTACAGGTGTAGCCACAGAACCACTCTGTAATGCTCACATGATCTCATTCTGCTGATGGGAAAATTGAGCTCCATCAGGGAGGATAACTTGTCTAAATCCACGGAGCTGTAAAGAGACGAAGTCAGGGAACTAGAGAGAAAACTCAGTAGTTAAAGAGTGTGTACTGGTCTTTTGAGGGCCCGCACTAGGTTCCCAGTGTCGAGCTCCAGGGAGGTTGACACCCTCTTCCAGTATGTGTGAGCACCTGCACTCACATACACATACCCACACAAATACGCATAATTAAAAATAAAATCAATCTTCATGAAAACAGAGATGAGGTCAGTATTACCAACTCCTGCCTATTGGTTTTGCAATCCTCGGGTGGGTGGACTCCAAACAGAGCCAGCACTTCCCTGTGCTGTGGACAAGGCCCCTCATTTGTGCAGCAGCCAGAGGTATACTTGTAAGATTTCCTGGGACTGGATGCCCTGATAATCTGGAGATCTTGGTGTGCTTGTGTGTGTGGACATATGTACCATTTGCTGTGCTGCCCCACAAAGTACCAAAGACCTTCCTTCCAGCCTGGTCAGGTTATATACTGAGCTCCATTGTGAGTGCACATGTATGCTCATATGTGTCGTGGGTGTCCACTGGCTCCTGGAGGCGTAGGGCCACAACAATTCTCAATTAATTGAGTGCAACTCACAAGTGACATATATTATGTTGCAGACGCTTTGCTGAGTATGGTACTCTAAAGATGGACAGACTACAGCCTCTCCTCCTAGAGGACTGGTACTCTTCCACTGGAGACAAACAGCTCCCCAGGCAGGAGCTCTAGATGATCAAGGGCTGAGTGCTGTATTCAGGCTGGGATACCTCCGGGGCTTCCAGGCAGGTGAAGTGTGACTAGCACTCCATAGCAATGAGGGCACCTTGCCTAGAGAGAAATGATTTGGGGTGTGGGGGAGGGGCGCTGTGGATGATAGGGGATCTAGAGATGCTAAATGTTGGGAATCTGGTACAGAACTGAGTAGCAAGGATTGAGGTGGGCAATTGGGGGGTTGACAACCAGACACACTTCCTGACAAGAAGCAGAGAATATGAGGCTGGTGTCACATGGGGAGGGAGTGTTTCTGCTCTGCTCCCTAACCCCTGCTTCTTGATTCACACACACACACACACACACACACACACACACACACACACACACACACAGAGCAGGCTCCAGGCATTCTCCCCTTTGCCGGAAGCAGAAAAGGTGGCGGGAACCCAGGTGGAGGCGGGCCAGAGGGCTTTTCCTATGAGTGGAGTGGGAGGGAGTCCAGGCACATCCTGAGCCCACATTTGTCTACACAGCCTTCCTTCTCAGCCCATGGGGCAGAGGTCTTGACTCTGCCATCTCAGGAAGAAGCACCAGAGAGCCAGAGCTAAAGGACTTGAAAGAGCAGTCTCACAGAGGACCCAGATGCAGATAGCAGGCTGCATAGCTAGTTAGTGACGACAAACCTGCCTTGCTCTGGGCCTTCTGCAGGCAAGACAGCAAGGGGTGGGGGGAGACTGTTAGAATCTGCGACAGTAGCGGGGGAAGGGGATTGTTAGAATCTGCAGCCAGGTGCTCTGGACCTGTGGCAGCTCTGAGACAGAGGAATGGGCTGTGGCGACTAGGCTTACCCTAAACCTACAAGGCATCTTCTAGGAGTCCCTGTCCCCAGAAGTCAGGAAGACTTCACCAGGAGAGGTAGGTAGGGAAGTGACCCTGTCGCTGCCCTTGCCTCTCCAAATGAGGTCTTCACCTCCCCAGCTGCTGTCCTGCTCCCTGTGATCTACCCAGACTGACTTTACCAAGTCTCTGCTATCCCAGTATAAGACAGAGGCTCCTCTGAGAGATGCCTTATGGGTTGCAGTACAGAAAACTGCTGGACCACTAACCCACCTGGTGGGAGTGTGGCTGATAGGACCAAGGTCATGACTCCATTCAAATCACCTGGGCGCCTTCCCTAGGCACCACAGGCTGGAGCAGAGCTAAGTTGTGAGCCTTCCCTTACTTTGAGAAAATCAGTCCTGGTTCAGAGACTGTGCAGCTCCAGAGGGGCTTAGTGGCCCCCACCCGGGCAGCTAGAGAAAGAAGAGCGGGAAGAGAGCTGTCCTGATCCCCAGGTACCAGAGGAAGATGTCCTTAGCTCCTCACCCAGGCAAAGGCCCCACTCTCTCAGGGCTCCTCCTGACACAGAGGGATCACCATTGCAAGCAAGTGGGCAGGTGGGTTCCTGCCTCCCAATTAGTTCCGCTTTCACTTCCTGATTAGCACCTGCTGGCGGGAGGGAGGGGCCCCAGGCAGAGCCAGACTCCCAGGGGGGCACCGGGAGGCACTCAGCCCTGGAAGAGCTCCATGGTAATAGTCAAGTCCCTCCCTCCTCTGGGACCTGAGGAAGATGAGTGCTTTTGCTCGGCAGCCCAGGCAGGAAAGCAAGTTCCTCACCAGATGTGCCTGCAGCTGGGAGAAGCACCGCAGCTCAGACCCCTCATCCTGTCTCCTTAGGTGTGTCTCAGTCTCCAGTTGACTCTCCTGGAGCTGGGCTGCGGCTCCTCTCTTCTGGACTCTGCCTCTGCCTGAGACACTCACCATGGGAACACCCACCAGGAAAAAGACAAGCTTGCTGCTGCTGGTTCTGGCCACAGTGGCCCTGGTCTCCTCTCCAGGTAAGAGCAGCTGATTATAGGGTTAAATCATTACTACCACTTAGACGGCAATTCCTCTTCACTGCTAAAGTCTTCCCATATACGCATCTTACCTTTGAAGTTGGGAGGAATCTTTACTATGTTAAAGATGAAGAAAAACATGACCCAGAGAGGCTGAGTGGTTTATCCTGTGTCACACAGTGCAAAGTGGCACAGTCAGACCTCTATGCTATCCGTTGGAGACATGACCTCTAGAACTTCACCGCACAGTGTGGTAGGCATCGCCAAGTATGACCCCTGAGCTAACATGTGATTCAAGTGAAAGTGATGCCTTCAACTGTACTTGCCACTTGTCAAGTGCTCTATGGGACATATCCATCATATCCAGACATTTTTCCTAAAGTATGCTCCAGGATCTTGGACCCAAGGGAACAGCAGCTACCCCATTGAATGCCTAGGGGCTTCCTTGAGGGAACCGGGATGGGTCGGGCAGAGAGCAACCAGCCGAGGCAGAGCAGGGTTGCTGACAGACGGTCCAGTCTCCACGGTACTCTCCATGCTTAGACCAGAGATGGGAAACAGCTGCCAGGGAGCAAACAGAGCTGGACAGTTCCCACTGGGAGCCGGGTGTCTCCAAGGCTCGCTGCTGAGTGGTCAGCAGGCTACTTTTTGGCTGGGCCTGGGTCTCAAATTGAAATCAATAGGAGTCTCTTTTTGCCCCCAAAGAGTTCCAAGGGAGAAGGAGCACCTGGAGTTTAGGCCACACGTTTTGCCCACGATCCTTCAAGACTCAGCCGTTCCCTCTCTCTGTGGGCATGCTCAAAAGCTTTTGCCAGGTTCTTGTTGCTGGGATCCACCCTGTGCTCACGGTGCTTCGTGGGGCTGCTGAGAAGTGGATCTAACTCCCACACCTTGGTCCTGGCTATCTCCACCAGACTGGAGGAATGGCCAGGGTGGGAGGCTCTGACTGCTCAGAACGAGATACTGTATCTGTCTACTGTGAGGAGAGAGGGTGAAGATGACTCTAGACACACACCCCTCCTCCTGCCTCCAACTCCTCTGACATCCACTTCCTGCTCTTGACTCCCATTGAGAAAGGCCAGAGGAGAGGGTCCTCAGCAACCTGTCTCAGGGGTAACTCCTTTTGGAAGCAAGAGGTGTGAGCACCCCTCAGGGAACGCTAACCCAGATGGGTCAGAAAGTAATTCCCAAAGGCCCAGGGCCAGGACCTGGGCTGCCGTCTCCCAGTGTGACCCAATTCTCGATCTGCTCCCTACTGAGACCTGGAAAGTGCTTCCCTGCTCTTGGCTGGCTCACCTGATCCTAGAATAGATCTCTGGACCATTCACACCCCAGAGCAAGGAGAGGCACAGCATCTTCCCTCACTTAGCATCTCTCTGGCTTCCTTTTCCCACTGAAATGTCTCTTGTCTTTTCTGGGGAAAAGAGGAACCGAGCAAAGAATGAGGGCATTTGGGGCAGGGGCCACAGAGAGGGCCACCTTTGTCCAGGAGTGTGTGTGTCCATATGTGCTCACCTGTATGTATGGCAGCACGGACAGGTCTGTCTGTAGCTAAGGAGTAGTGTGGGCTGTGTGAGGCAGTCTATGGACCAGAGAGATGCTGAGGGGTGCATGTGTGAGTGCAGCACAGCTTGGACCTCGATGCCATCAGCTCCAGCTCCTTTCAGAAGCATTTTTTTTACACCCCAGATTTCTGGGTTTCATTCCCAGAACTTCTGATTCCAGGCCTCTGAGGTGGAGCCAGGGCCTCAGATGGTCCCAAAAACCTGAAGTCAGAAATCGTAGCCAATGTAGTTGAAAATGTCAGCCGCGAGGTGAGGCCGGATGAGGGCAGACCTTCTCCTTTGGTTTGAGGTACAGAAAGTTATTAAACTTCCCTAAGGGTCAGATTCCGTGTTGGAGAGGTACCTTGCTTCTTAGAGCACTTTGAGAAGGAATTTGGAGTGTGGTATGAGGTATAAGCAAACGGATCAACAGCGCAATTCTTATCGTGACTTAATTATCATCAGTGAGTAGAGCGACTTGTGCGTATATGCATATGGAATGAGCAGGCGGGGCTATTGGCAGCTGGGCCTGCCTAGTAGAGAAGTGTGTGCAGATGTATATCTGGCCATTTGATTGGTTTAGAGAGACATCTGTATATGAACATATGTGTGACATGAGAACATCGTAAGATGTGCAGGTGGGACATGAAGGTGTGTGCATGTGGATATTGGGGTGAGTGTGAGGGTGTGCACATGCCTGAGTGTAGAAGAAAAAAGTTTTTTCAAGAAGACAAACTTCATCTTAAAGCACCAGTGTGCCCAGGCCTCGCTCTACCACCTCCTACCACCCACACTGAGTTCCTGGAAGCTGCTATTGTACAAGGTTGTTCCCAGCAGCCTCTCCATCCCTCCTTCTCCTCCCTTCCATCCTCCCTTCCTCCCCTCTCTCCAGGTGGTCCCAGCTGGGACAGGGTCCCTACCTCCACCACCATCATTAACTCCGGATTAAGCTGGGCTTTCCAGGGGGAGATGATGCAGTTGCTGTCAGACACTACCTCTGAGGCCCCAGGCAGCAGTAAGAGAGAGTGACAAGCAACTGGGGGAAGGGGGGAGGGGTAGACACAAACAGGACTCAAGGGAAGCCCTCGCCAGACCATTCGGAAAGTCCTGCCTCCTAGCTCATTCCTCATTCAGAAGGCTGCTTAGCAGATGCCCCAACTCCCAAGAGGCCAGAGCTGGCCCTCAGCTGGAGCAGAGGGACCACATTCACTCGGAAGAGGGCTGGCAGCTGGATGTGCCCAGAAAGAAGGCACTAATTGGTTAATGGAGTTCCCTCCTCCCATCCCCCACTCAACAAGGAAGGTCTGAAATCAGCTGCAGGAGAGATTGGAGCCAATTAGGGGACCTGGCTCCCACCTGATCCTGCAGTGGCGGAGTCCCCACTGTGCCTATATGAGTGTGAAGTATTGTCCACTCCCCTGCCTGCTGACCCTGTGCTGGTGAGACAGGACAATGGTGTGTGGAAAGCAAGACCATGGCTGAGACAGGGCTGGGAAGGGCAAGTGTCAAACCCATTTGCTAAGCAACGTCACCTGCCTGACACAGATTGGCCATATGACCATTGGGCCTTTCTTTCCTGAGACAGGACACAGTTCACACGACTGCCACCATCCAACCTGCTAACACAGCAACATCCAGCCATCTTCTACCCTCTGTCCCCAGTTGGGTCTAACAACCAGTTGCTGAGTTTGCATCCTGTGCTAGGCCCTCCCTTTTCTCTACTGTTAGACCCTGTTATGGAGCTGGGAAGTGAATTTCTACTGTTTTCATAGGAAGACATCAGATCAATGTGTGGGGGGAGGGGGGATATAGCTTGCCCAAAGTAATGCAGCTAGCAGGAGACCCAGCCCAGCTCCCAGATTAGCACTCTTCACTGGACTACACTGCCCTAGGAGAGCACTGGACTCCAGGAACACCCTCTGCCCCTGTTTCCTGCCAGTGACTTCTCACATGTCTCAGCTGTGTGAGGTTCCCTGGGAGTCTCATCGAATCTTGTCCCTAAAGCACTCTGTGACATGGGACCCTGTACTGTCTGCTCTGTTTCCTTCCCTGGACTGCAAAGCCCTTTAAAGAAAGAGACCGTGTGTCTGATTCATTTTCACAGCCCAGTTCCAAGTATACAACAGGTGCTTAATGTGTGACTGTAGGTGGGTGAGTGAATATGCCTATGTAGATTGATGGGACTGCCCAGCCTGTTTAAATTAATTTAAATTAAATTTAAATTTTAGTTCCTTAGACACATTCCAAACCCTCATTAGCCACAAGTGGTCCATGGCCACCTACTGGACAATGCAGGAAAGGCTGCATCCCCACTAAGTTCTGCCCTTGACGTTGGACTTCTCAGACATTGAAGCTATAGCGATACCCCCTGTTTGCAGGATGGAGTTTTGCCCAGGGAACCCCAGCTACTTTTGGACCCATCTTTGAAGAGCAACCTGTTGGCCTGCTATTCCCAGAGGAGTCTGCAGAGGATCAGGTGACACTGGCGTGCCGTGCCAGAGCTAGCCCTCCAGCCACCTATAGGTGAGGTCCCAGCCATGAGAGCAGGGAGGCCCCGGGAGGCCATACAGGTTCCCTTTATATCAGCCTTACCCACTGAGGCCTGAAGTCCCATCCCCACTCTCATCCCTGCTACAGGTGGAAGATGAACGGCACAGATATGAACCTGGAACCTGGCTCCCGACACCAGCTGATGGGGGGCAACCTGGTCATCATGAGCCCGACCAAGGCACAGGATGCTGGTGTCTACCAGTGCCTAGCCTCCAACCCAGTAGGGACTGTCGTCAGCAAGGAAGCTGTCCTCCGCTTCGGCTGTGAGAACCATGGGAGCCAAGATATTGGGTGTGGGTAGATGGGGCCAGGAAAAGGTTCCCAAGAAGGACAGGTGGTGGCAACCTCGAGCCAGGCTTTCCTGCCAGCAGATGGCATGCTAGAAAACGCTTCCCCCCTCCCCGCCCCCCCATGGAGGAGGAACTGGGGAGCTGCATGCTCGAGGACAGTTGCCTGAGCCCTGCTCTCCAGTTGTCTGAGCCCTGCTCTCCAGTTGCCTGAGCCCTGCTCTCCATCTCTAGTTCTACAGGAATTCTCCAAGGAGGAGAGAGACCCCGTGAAAACCCACGAGGGCTGGGGGGTGATGCTGCCCTGTAACCCACCTGCCCACTACCCAGGTAAGTGTGGATCCTGGGCCAGCACAAGACTGGGAGGGGGAGTGTACCAGAAAGGACTTCTGGATGCTAGCAGTTAGGAAAAACAGAACAGGAGGTGATAAGTCTTAACTTTAAATGGTTCTGCAATCTCCTAGCTGGACTGAGAGTGTGTTCACAGTACCTAGTAGCATCATGGGGGGGGGGGGGGGAGAGGGGGAGGGAAGGAGAAAGGGAGGGAGCGAGGGAGCAAGGGATGGAGGGAGGGAGGGAGGGAGGGAAAGGGAGAGAGAAAGAGACAAAGAGACAGAGACAGAGACAGACAGAGAGACAGAGAGACAGAGACAGAGACAGAGACAGAGACAGAGAGACAGAGCTGAAGTCATCTCTTCCCTCTATACCCCCAGCCCCTGTTTAGAGCTGCAAGCTCTCATGAGAAGACAGAGCTTGCAGCATGTTTGGGGTCCTGCCCAGATTGGCCTGTGATCCCAGTGTACCCTTGTTTTCTCAAACTCCTTCCTTTCTAGGTCTGTCCTACCGCTGGCTTCTCAATGAGTTCCCCAACTTCATCCCAACGGATGGGCGTCACTTCGTGTCCCAGACCACAGGAAACCTGTACATCGCCCGGACCAATGCCTCAGACCTGGGCAACTACTCTTGTCTGGCTACCAGCCACATGGACTTCTCCACCAAGAGTGTCTTCAGCAAATTCGCACAGCTCAACCTGGCTGCTGAAGGTCAGGATCCAGGGTAATGGAGGGCTGAAAGGGTCAGTAGGCTTTGGGAAACAGTATTCCACCACGCCTAAGAACTGCGGCTCAGAGCATATGAGGTCCTGCTGCCAGGTCTCAGACCCTTGCCCCAGGCCCCCATGGGAATTTTGGGAGGCCTGGGCCCTAATGCAAAGCACCTCCCTGGAGTCCTTTGTGTGTGATTCACATAACCTCTCTCTCTCCCCAGATCCCCGGCTCTTTGCTCCCAGTATCAAAGCCCGGTTCCCCCCAGAGACCTATGCACTGGTTGGGCAGCAAGTCACCCTGGAGTGCTTTGCCTTTGGGAAGTAAGTACCATAGGGACAAGAGTGTCCTGGGACCAGGTAGTATTTCATTTCAAAGCCCCTCAAGAGCAGGAGGGATTCCAGAATGAGAGAGAACAAAGTCAATAGACTAACAGGGTCCTGGGCACAAAACAGACATCACTCATCACCTATGAAGCAAGTTCTGCCATGGAGATATCACACACACACACACACACACACACACACACACACACACACGAGGGCTTTATAGGCATGAGGGAGTCACGTGGTCCTCCCAACAGTAAAGGCAGTCCTAGGCAGTTTGAGGAGCACCCAGGGCTAGCAGCAGAAAAAGCTGTGCAGACCCCAACCTGCTAGTTCAAAGCTCAGCTTCAACACTTGCTGGCTGGGAGACCTCAGGCAAACGACCTAACATCTCAGGCTCAGTTCTGTAGTGCATGGATGGTCATGGTAAGAGTGCCTGCCCTGTAAGATTGTTACAAAGATCAGACGGGTCAGTGGATACCAGGCCCTGAGAGCGGTGCTTGGCGTTTTAACAGGTGTGGCATGAATGTCACATTAGGCATTTCACAAATTACAACAGAAAGGCTTGCTTCTTTTTCTTGCTCTCCTGGAAAAAGGCCCCACTAGAGCAGGGCTCCTTGGCTACTGCTATGTGGGATGTTACCGAGCTTCCAGGAAACATGTATAAAGGAGCATTTGGCGGGGTAATGTGTTAACCCCTAGACTCAATGGTTCCCTAGCCCATTTTAATACGCAAATCACTAATAGCTAAAGTGCCTTGGAAAAGCAGAGTGATGATAAAGGGGACCTGTAAAGGCCCATGTTCCTAGTCTCCTTTGTGCCCTCTTCCCGTCTGTCCCCTCCCAAACAGGAGTCCCCTTCACCTTGTCCAGTGCTGCAGGAGGGCCTGTGAGTGTCAGCATAGGCTCTGTGCACACATGAGGGACATGCTCAGCTCAGCACCTCTGGCTCTTTCTCCCCCATCAGCCCTGTTCCCAGGATCAAGTGGCGCAAAGTGGACGGTTCCTTATCCCCTCAGTGGGCCACAGCAGAGCCCACCCTGCAGATCCCCAGCGTGAGCTTTGAAGATGAGGGTACCTATGAATGTGAGGCAGAGAACTCCAAGGGCCGTGACACAGTCCAGGGACGCATCATTGTGCAAGGTACAGAGCTGGAGACACCTCCCTCTTCCCCGAGGAAACAGCATGAAAATCCAAGACACCAGGAGGCCTCTTGCTTGAGCCTTCTGACCCTTGCCAAGACTACTAAGTATGGTTGGAGAGGCCATCTCAGAGCTCAGCATGGGCATAAAAAAAGCACACATGTCTTTCAAAAGATTTAGTTGCTAAAGCAGCCCCTGGCACAACTATAACCATAGAGTGCCAGCTTCCCTGCCCCCATTTCTTTGTCCTCTCCATCCTGGAATACCAACAGCGCCCTCTACCGTCACTTACAAATACTGCAGCCTTATAATTCCCCATTTCTCTCTTCTCCACAGCTCAGCCTGAGTGGCTAAAGGTGATCTCAGACACAGAAGCTGACATTGGCTCCAACTTACGTTGGGGCTGTGCAGCAGCAGGCAAACCCCGGCCCATGGTGCGCTGGCTGAGAAACGGGGAGCCTCTGTCATCCCAGGTAGGAAACCAGAGCTTTCTCCCACATGACCACCCTCTTCTGCTGCCTGGCCCTCTTACCCTGCTGGGCCAACCAAGGGTCTTGGGAAGTTCTGGTGCTTCTTTTCATGGAGATACACATGGCCACAGGTGAATCAGCTGTAGAACATCGTAGAGATCTGGGATTCCACCATCAACCAGGGATGCAATTCTAAATCTAGCCTCCAGGAGACCTCAAGTACCAGGCAGCCCTAAAGCAGACCTATATTGATGACCCTTCTTTCTGAAGGATGTTAGCTTCAGCATCTGGACCACACCACAACCACCCCTGGGCCCCTTTCTGTCCTGCAATGGTCCTGATCTCCCTGCCCTGTCTTGGCTCTTCTGCACAGAACCGGGTGGAGGTCTTGGCTGGGGACCTGCGATTCTCTAAGCTGAGCCTAGAAGACTCTGGCATGTACCAGTGTGTGGCAGAAAATAAGCATGGCACCATCTATGCCAGTGCAGAGCTGGCAGTCCAAGGTAAAGGGTCCAGGAGGCAGGCGACAGCCCTGGAACATGAAGGTTGCGTCTGGCTGGGTCTGAAACACACGCTTGCATGCACATGTGCTAACATACACATATACGTTCCCTTTTGTTTTTCAATGGCCCCTGAGTAGCACCAGTTTCAAGACATGAGACTGAGAGTTCTCCAAAGATGTGTCTGAATAAAGCCAACACTGGCTGCACTGAAAAGAGCTGATCTTTATTAACTAGCTCCTTCTGTTCTGTGGCCTGTGGCAAATTATCTGATTCTGTGCCTCAGTTTCTCTATTTAAAAAAATGTTTCATCTTGTCCTTGAACATCCTGTCCTTGAACACCATTTTAAGGGGAAGTGACATTCAAAGGGTGAACTGTGACAGGCTTGGCATTTTGACGGGGACAAGCAGCACTGGCCACGTGAGCTTATGAGGCGTGTGTTCTCTGCTGTAAGATGGACATTAGAAGCCTTTATTAAGCTTAACAAGGCTCAACAAAGACTTACTCTCTTTATTTTTATAATTTCAGTTGTACAAATGCCTGTATTTGTATGTGTATCCCATGTTATAGAAGTCAGAAGAAAGTGTTGATTCTCCTGAAGCTGGAGTTACAGATGGTTTTGAGCCAGCACTGGGCACTGGAAATGAAACTCAGGTCATCTGCAAGAGCAGTCCATGATCTGACCCACTGAGCCACCTCCCAGACTCAGTCTTTCATTCAGTTATTCAACCAATACTTACTCAACATCTCCTGGGGAGTGAATACAAAAGTACTTAAATAATTAAAGTACTGTATAAGAATAGAGGACGAGGAACAAATTAAGACAAAATTCATCCCAAATAACCGTAAAAATATGGTATAAGAAGATCCAGTACAGCAGTGGTGCCGAGGTGAGCCAGTTAGATGGGGTGGCCAGCAAAGACTCTCTGAGGAAGTCACATTTGAACTGTGACCTGAAGGAGACAGTCTTGTAAAAATCTGGGGAAGTTTCAAGTAATATTACATATGCAGACGCAACAATCCTAAAGCCAGAAAGCTTGGCAACTTCAGAGGGTTAAACGGAAAGCCCAGGGGCGTGGCAGTGGAGAGATGACTCATCAGTTAAGAGCACTGGCTGCTCTTGTAGAGGACTGAGGTTCCGTTCCCAGTAACCACAGGGTGGCTCACAATTACTTGTAATTCCAGGTCCAGAGAATCATACGCCCTCTTCTGGCTTCCTCAGGCACTGCATGCAGGAGGGCCGCAGACATACATGCAAGCAAAACACCCACACACATAAACAAATCTTTAAAGGGAAAAGGGGAAAAATTGAAAGCAAGACAGATGGTTGGAGCGTGTGTGAGGGACGGGTGGAGCCGGATGTGATGATACAGGGGTAGACTTGAGTTCTAGAGATGTTGCTGCCACTTGAGAAGTTGGTCTCCAGCGGCCAGACGCTTAGCACATAGGCAGACGACATCTTAATTGAGGTGGGCAGGTGGATAGCTCGAGGCTGAGAGCTTAAGTTCCACCTCTCCTGCAGCTCTGGCCCCAGACTTCAGGCAGAACCCCGTGAGGCGGCTGATCCCGGCGGCCCGAGGGGGGGAGACCAGCATCCCGTGCCAGCCTCGAGCAGCACCGAAAGCTACAATACTTTGGAGCAAGGGTACTGAGATTTTAGGGAACAGTACCAGGTAGGTTCTGTGTGCCACCACTGAGACGGCTTCTTGGAGGCCAGTCCCTTCCAATGGCCACGGTGTGTCCCTGAGCTGACTAGATCTTTTCTGTCCTTGCTGCAGAGTGACCGTCACTTTGGATGGCACCTTGATTATCAGAAACATCAGTCGGTCGGATGAAGGCAAATATACCTGCTTTGCTGAGAACTTCATGGGCAAAGCCAACAGCACCGGGATCTTGTCTGTGCGTGGTAAGGGCTGTGGTCTGTTCAGGCTGGTGGTTGGCTGCTGGGATGCTGTCCTGCCAACCATCTGCCCCTGGCTCCCCATGCTTCTCCTTTCAAGGATACCTCAGGACTCAATTTCTCCTGGGACCACCCCTGGCCAGCCTCCAGAATCTGGCTGCTCATGAATATGTATCTCTTCTTGGGGTACAGGCCAGAGCCTCTTTCCTTCCTGAGATTTTCCCATCACAGAGCTTTGTTGTTGCTGTTTTGCTTTGTAGATGCAACCAAGATCACTCTAGCTCCTTCAAGTGCTGACATCAACGTGGGTGATAACCTGACCCTACAGTGCCATGCCTCGCACGACCCCACTATGGACCTCACGTTCACCTGGACCCTGGATGACTTCCCTATTGACTTTGATAAGCCTGGAGGTCACTACCGGAGAGCCAGTGTGGTAAGGCCTGAGGCCTCATAGTTCTCTCTCCTTCCAGATAAGACAGGGGGCCTGAGATGGCCTCAGTCATTACCACCTCCAGGCTCTCCAAAGTTTCCCCTAACCCCTGAGGCCATGCCAAGAAAGCTCATCCTACAACCCACAGCCACCTTTCCTGCATCAAGCTTTTGCATCCCAAGTGCCCCAGGAGAGTCTCTCTGCTACTGTCCCTCTCCCCCAGTACACAAGCCATCATTAACTTGGCTCATAAAGACTGTCTTCTGTGACACACTTTGCTGTTCAGTGGTACCAAGTAGCTCATTCTTCCCATTGAACAGATAGGAACACTGAGGCACAGAGGACATGGATGCCATGCAGCCAGGGAATCCAGGCTCCATTTTGTCTTGTGGCCTATTATACTAGTCAGGGCTTCCTCCTGACTCATCATATCTTGCTGTTCCCTATGCACAGAAAGAGACCATTGGAGACCTAACTATCCTGAATGCCCAGCTACGCCATGGAGGGAAGTACACATGCATGGCCCAGACAGTGGTGGATGGTGTATCCAAGGAGGCCACAGTCCTGGTCCGAGGTAGTGGGAGTCAGCCACCCCAGTTCTCAGAGAAGCTCTAGGCTTCCTGACCCTCCCCATCTCTCTTCCCTCCCTGAAAGCTGACAGAAGCCAGAGAGATGGACACATCTGCTTAGTGCCTGAATAGTTCTTTGTGGGTCCTAAATGAGTAGACTATTTCTTCCAAACCCATACTCAAGAAAGAGAATGTACCCCAAACACCCCAGGAGTTCCAGGTTCAGTGCAGGGAAAACCTGTACATCCCTCTGTGGACAGCGTCTGTGAGCCTCCGAGTCAGAGACACTTGATTCTCCACCTTTCCCCTCTGTCCCCATCCTCTGGCCTCTCACCCAATCTCTCCTGCCCTCCGATGTCCCGTCTAGATATTGAGTCAGCCAAGCTGAGTCTAGATAAAACTGACTCAAATTGGGAGCTGCCCACTTCTGACTCAGTGTGCTCTGCCGCTTGGTACAGGTCCCCCCGGCCCCCCAGGGGGTGTGGTGGTGAGAGACATCGGAGACACCACTGTTCAGCTCAGCTGGAGTCGTGGCTTTGACAACCACAGCCCCATTGCCAAGTACACGCTGCAAGCTCGGACTCCACCCTCAGGGAAATGGAAACAGGTTCGGACCAGTAAGTATGAGGCACTGCGGGGATCAGTATTAATAAAGCCCCCACTATGTGCACAGCAGAAGACAGGGGTCAGAGGGTCAAGGGCTGAACCTAAGGCTTCAAAGAGAATTAAGTTTTGTCCTCTTACCTCCAGGAGGCACCTAGGCAGGCAGGAAGCCTTCATAGCCAGGATGGTTAGGAGAGGGAGGGCTGGAGGCGCCAGCCTTTCTGTGCCCTTGAAGCCTTTGAAGGGTTGTTGCTAGAGAATGCCAGCATGCTCAACATGTGTGGAGTGAGGGGCACACAGCATTGGCAAAGGCCCTGTGTGGCATCAGAGCTCCCTGGCTTTTCAGTCAGAGTAGTGGGGGGCTTAGCATATGGTAGGACTATACGTACAGTGAGGGCAGAACATAAAAGGTCCTGTGGGCCCAGACCCTGCCCTCATTATAAATGGACGCTAGCCACTGTCTGCCTGGGACCTTGCAGATCCTGTGAATATCGAGGGCAACGCCGAGACTGCCCAGGTGCTGGGTCTCATGCCTTGGATGGACTATGAGTTTCGGGTTTCAGCTAGCAACATCTTGGGCGCTGGGGAGCCTAGCGGGCCTTCCAGCAGAATCCGCACTAAGGAGGCAGGTGAGTGTCTGAGGTTCTAAAGAGAACTCTCTGAAAAGGGAACCCCAGCAGAGGGAGCCCCAACAGAGGGAGCCCCAACAGAGGGAGCTCCAGCAGGGGGTGGGGGGGGCAGTGTCAGGGGAGCCCCAGTAGAAGAAGCTGGGGGGGGGTGGAGCTCCAGCAGAGGGAGCCCCAGCAGGAGCCCCAGCAGAGGGAGCCCCAGCAGAGGGAACCCCAGCAGAGGGAGCCCCAGCAGAGGGAGCCCCAGCAGGAGCCCCAGCAGAGGGAGCCCCAGAGAGGAAGCAGAAACAAAACCCCAATCTGCTTACCAGGCCTGGGCTCCCTGGTCCATAGGGGAAAGATGAGAAGTTAGAGGCAAAGCTGCTTCTTGGACAAACTGCCTGATCCGAAGCCCTTGCTGAAAAGCACACCTCAGGTAGATCTGTAGTCGCTGTCTCGGCTAAGTATTTAAAACCAGGAAAGCTGATTTGAACAAAGGAAGAAGGGTCACACCAGGAGAGCCTGCCTGGTCTTGAACCTAGGACAAGAACCTTGAGCTATTTTTTAGTGCGCACAAACTGCAGAGAGCAGCTAATGAGGAAGGTGTGTGTGTGCATGTGTACACTCGAGCATCTGTGTACACACATGCGCTGTGCAGGGGGCTAGAGAGGCAGCCAGACTCCAGGCACTGTTTCACTGGTATCTGAGGAGCTGGAGGGATAACAACGTGCCTGCGATCCTCAGGGAAAGCACACGTTTGTCAGAGCCAGGGGAGAGTGTGAGGAGAGAACCAGGAAGGGCACAGGCAGGGCCTTCATCTGCCTGGAGGCACCTGCTATGCTCTGCCCATTCCCAGCAGAGGGCCTGGGATCACATGGCAGCATCGTGGGCTGGATCCTGTCTCCCTCCTTCTGTCCAGCCAGTCCTGCGCTTGTGTGTGATAGAGGGCCTACCTCCATGTCTCCCTTAAACACGTTCTCCTGCCTGCTCCAGACCGACTCTTCAGGCTCTGAAATCACTCACATTTTAATCTGGCATCCATCTGGAGTAGGAAGTTCCCAAAAGCGTGGTTTCTGACTGAACTTCTTAGGGATGTGTGGTAGGGGTGGGGTCTCTGATTCTGGCATCTCAGAAACTGATGCACAGACAAGCACAGTGCAAAGGGACAGTGAGGGTCTTTAATGTCGTAAGAGCGGAGATCACTTCTAGCTGGCCCATGTGTTAGCTGTGTGAACTTTGGACAAGTTGCTTAACTGCCCTGGACGTCGGGCTTTCTGTCTTTCCCTGGCCTTCTGTGAGCTGATGGAAGCCATCTTTGTGTCTATCAGTCTTGTTTAATAGTAAAGACAGCAAGATTAAATCTATCATGAGAGAGAGAGAGAGAGAGAGAGAGAGAGAGAGAGAGAGAGAAAATATCAGTAAAATATAAATATCTCGGAATATCCTCTAACAAAAGTGGTAGTTTTGTTGTTGGTTGCATTAACTGCATTCACAATTCTCTATTCCCATAAGCTAAAGCAAACTGGAGTTGATCTCTGGTTTAGCTAAACCAGGGGTGAGTAAGGATGACATACAAGAATAGCCATTCCATGCTGCCTAGCCTCTCATTTAAATTCCTCGACTTTCACTTTGACAGAGACATTATCGTCATCATATAGAGAGTATAATCAAGGCCCAGAAAGGTTAAGTGGGTAGCCAGAGGAAGCACAGCAAAGATGGGAATTGTTCTCAGGCTGGTCTGACTCTGCACTCATGCACAGAAGGACTATGGGAAGATAAATTAGGACACCACACCTAAGATGATCTCCAAGCACAGGCTGGGGGATTCTCTCCCCCCCCCCAGGCCCCCGACACACACACACACACACACACACACACACACACACACACACATACTTTCTGCCCACTAATGTGACACATTTGTGTTGCTTGGCCTTTACAGTCCCCTCGGTGGCACCGTCAGGACTCAGAGGAGGGGGAGGAGCCCCTGGAGAGCTCACCATCAACTGGACTGTAAGTGGGCGGGGACAGAGAAGCAGGCAGGTGTCTTGCCTCTCAGGAGTCACGCCCCTTTCCCTCCTGTCATAGTTTGTCTCCAGACACAGTGCCCGCAACAGAAAGGACCGATGAAGTCTTATTTGGAAGCTGGCAGCTTCCTCCCCCACGCCCCATGCATCTCTCACGAATCCTTTGAGGAGGCACAGGCCTCCCAGGGCCACTCCTCTGGGTGAAGAATGGGTGGAGTCAGATGAATGGGTGGGGACACATACCCACGACCCCTGGCCCATGCCATGCTCTTGCCCTCAGCCCATGTCACGGGAGTACCAGAATGGAGACGGTTTCGGCTACCTGCTGTCCTTCCGCAGGCAAGGCAGCTCCAGTTGGCAGACCGCCCGGGTGCCCGGTGCTGATGCCCAGTACTTCGTCTACAGCAATGACAGCATCCATCCCTACACACCCTTTGAGGTCAAGATCCGAAGCTACAATCGCCGGGGAGATGGGCCCGAGAGCCTCACTGCGATAGTGTACTCAGCAGAGGAAGGTGGGCTGTAGGGGGCCTGGCCCTCCTTGACTTCCTGGCACAGGGAGGGAGGGGGGTGCCATGGGAGGAGAAGCAAGCCTGGGGTGCACTTGGTGTCCCCTGGGCTTCATCCTGAGCACTGGGCTTCATTTTGGGCCCTGGGATTCCCCCAAAATCCTAAGCAGATACATCCCTAGTCAAGGTCAGTCACTCTGTGGGATACAGAGGTGTCTCGGCAACATATGCCCATTCTTTATTGGTCCCTAGAGCCCAGGGTGGCCCCTGCCAAGGTCTGGGCCAAGGGGTCCTCATCCTCAGAGATGAACGTGAGCTGGGAGCCTGTGCTACAAGACACGAACGGCATTCTCCTGGGGTATGAGGTGAGCACCAACTGGGGCCAAAAAGAGGCAGGGCTAGGCTTTCCGAGTAGGGGAACATCTGACAGCTTACTAGTCATTCCTCTCAGATCACTAATTCTTCAGCAAGAGGATCAAAGGAAGAAGGAAAAGCCCAGGCCCCGTATTGTCAGGGAGAGCTCCTGACATCAGGCTGTGCCTCCCAGGGTTGGCTCCTGATTTCAGCACAATAGATTAGACAGACCACTGGGAGCAGAAGCTAGTTCCACTCTTAGCCCTTGATTGAAGACTAAGGTCTGATATTCCACTGGTGACTGGAGTTGTGTGTACTGGGCACTGAGGAGAGAGCTACTTTACAAGCACACGCATGCGTTTCATGTCCCAGTAAATGCTCCAAGATAGTACCTGAGTGAATGAGATGAACATTACATTGAGAGTCGGCATCCAGGATCTGAAGTGTAGGAGGCAGAGGCAGCCGCAGGTCTGCGGTAGACCCTGGCACTCTGCTACTCTCTGGCACTAGAGTGAGCTTGCTGGGCATGGTCTAAGTGATGGGGGAGCTTTGGAAGGCTCGAAGATTGTAACAGCCTGGGCCTTTCTCACCTCTGCTCATCTCCCCACTAGCCACCGACTTCTTTCCTCTCATACCCTGGATACCTTCCTTGGAGTAGACACTGTTGAATAGCCATAGTTGCAGGGACTCACAATCACATGACCTTGCTTTCTGGGTCACCTGACCTAGTGCGCAGGTTATCAAACTAGAGTTTACCATGGGACCAGCCTGAGTAGGAGAGGAGCATGGAGACCGTGTAGCCAAAAGCTTTGCCATGCGCTTTAACATATCCTGCTCCTCGTAGATTCGCTACTGGAAAGCCGGGGACAAAGAAGCAGCCGCTGACCGAGTAAGGACAGCAGGGCTAGACTCCAGTGCCCGAGTCACCGGCCTGTACCCCAACACCAAGTACCACGTAACTGTGAGGGCCTACAACCGGGCTGGCACTGGACCAGCCAGCCCTTCAGCCGATGCTATGACCATGAAGCCCCGTGAGTGCCAGGGATGAAGAAGGGTGTGTGCCATGGGGTAGGGACTATTCCTGTCACATGGTCAGCACTAGGCAGAAGGTCAGAGGACTACTGAACATGATCATGGTCTCTGAGGCATCTTCTGGATTGTCATGGTGACAGATTGTTCTGAGAATTCCTGCCATATGGGTGGGCACCAGAAAGGGGCTGGCTAGTGGTAAAGGAAGGGTGGCCACGGAAGCATATGGCCATGTCTCCAATCTCTCCTCCCCTGGCAGCGCCACGACGACCTCCTGGCAACATCTCCTGGACTTTCTCAAGCTCCAGTCTCAGCCTTAAATGGGACCCCGTGGTTCCTCTCCGAAATGAATCTACAGTCACTGGCTATAAGGTGAGAAAGGGACACACAGGCCTGCCATGAGGAGAAATGGCTCTCATTTTTCCATTGGTCACAGGGACCTGCAATCCCTAGCAGAGTGGCATCTGGGGCCAGGAGAAACATGAAGGACAGGCGCTCTGGGTAGTTTACGGTAGAGACTATAGAAACAGGTTCATGGTATGGCTGCATGAAGGTCAGGTCAGGGATGGGCTGGGGGGCTCTGACAAGACAGCTTAGCTGCTTGCACACTTACCTCCCACCAGTGAGAAGCTTGGCCAATGAGAAATTGAAGGAAGCAAGAAGGACCCCTTGAGGGTCCAGGAGGCTGTATCTGGAAACTTCTATCCCACAGATGCTGTATCAGAATGACTTGCACCCAACTCCTACACTCCACCTCACCAGCAAGAACTGGATAGAAATACCAGTACCTGAAGACATTGGCCACGCTCTGGTACAGATTCGAACCACAGGGCCTGGAGGGGATGGGATCCCAGCAGAAGTCCACATTGTGAGAAATGGAGGTACTGTCCCTCCCTTCCCCCCTTCTACCTAATCCCTCAGCAGTATTGATCCACCAGACACTGGATTGTCCCCAAGAGCCAACTCTAACCTAGACCCCCATAAGGAGAAAGGAAAAGACAAGCAATGAATAGTACCCATGCCACTGTCCCCTCCCTACCCTAGAGCCACCCCAAGGTAAGGAGGGAGTGTACCTCTTTTATTGAATGCAAGGGACTGGAGTCTAAGAGCAAAGGCCAATGCTGCATGGGTAAGGAAGAACACCACTAGTCTTCAGTTCCTAAGGCCTCCGTATGACTTTCCTCCAGAGACCTCTGGGTTCTTTTGTAAGGGCAGGGCTGGGAGGCTCACTCAGACACGCAATTTTTTTGCTGCTGGTTTCAGGCACAAGCATGATGGTAGAGAGCGCAGCCATCCGCCCTGCCCATCCTGGTTCCATGTTCTCCTGCATGGTGGTACTGATGCTCACTGGCTGCCAGAAGCTCTGATCTCAACACTGCCTGCCACACCCAAGCTGGACACCCACCCTAACAGACACAGTGGCTGGCCGCAGCCCCCCTCCAACACCAAGGTGGTCCAACACTGTGCCTGAGAGTGGTTGGCTTAGACACCTACTCCCAACAGTACCCTTTATGTAGGAGGTAGGATATTTCTATTCTGCCACAGGATAGAACCATGCAAGGAATTTTTCTTTAAATCAAGAGGCACTGGGCAGTGACTTCCATGATAATAATGGGCTTAATGCCTGCACCCCTTGGGGTCCCGGACAGAAGGAACAGACCTTTGGATAGAAGGTATTTAATATACATCTTCAGATCAAGCAGATGGCCCTTTGGGGCCACAATTGGGCACTGCCATCTGAGATCAGAGTCCCAGGCCCAGCAGGAACACGGGCAGCAGTGGGCTGCCCTCTACGAAGCAGAGGGACCTCTTCTTGTCCTCGTTGGAGAAGCACCACAGCTGGTCCCAACACGGTCTTCCATGGCTCCCTGGCAGTCCTTCTCAGTAGCCAAGAACAAGGCCCTGGGCTACTGGGGACAGGAGCTCAAGGGGGTTGAGAGGCTACAACACCTGATGGAAAGGGGCACCAGCCTAAGTGGCACCATCCCGGTGGCACTGCCCTCTCAGCCAGCACTGCCAACCCAACCCTGTCGTGCTCCAGATGGAATGACTGAGTGACAGGGCCACTTCAGGTGGCTCTGTGACTAAAGGGCTTGTCTCGAGGAGTTGCCTTGCCTCATCAAGATGCTTCCTTCATGGACCCTCCAGGGTATGGGCCAAAGATGTCCATCTGAATGCCGCTCTCTTCCCTTCAGCTCTGCTGCAGATTTGTGCCTGCCTTCACCTCCCATAACTACAGGCCCTGGAAACCAGCTCTCAACACAGCATCCATTCTTTGCCCTGGGATGGAGAGGCATCTGAGAAGGGCCAGCACCAATGTGGCCCTGCCTGCTTCCAGGAATACCCTCCATCAGCTGGCCACACCTTCTCCCCAAACTGCCTGGACTACCCTCTTAAGTCCCCAGAAGAAGAAAGGGTTAATAAGGTGGTAGTGTGGTGTGGGAACAGCCTGCCGTGAGTTTTGAGTGTGTTACCAGTGACAGACCAGACTACCAGAGCTGAAGAAGCCTTATAGCTTGACTTATCCATACCCTGCACTTAACAGATGAGAAAACAGAGGTCCAGAAAGGGTTAGGGACTTTTTAGGATCACATGGTCTGTAAGTGACAAGGCTTGGTCAAGCACCAGAGTCTCCTGCCCACCTGTGGGAGGCTCTGTGGAGGGAAGAGGTGTGGTACTGAGCAGTCACAGCCTGGTCTCTCGGATGGCCGAGGACTCTGGAGGATGAGCCTGCTGGGAAGATCAACATGGATGAGTCGTTCCAAGGCACAGGCAGATTCCAGGAGTCAGCGGCCTGAGGCAGGCTTCTGCTGGGAACTCAGCAGGGAACGCTGGCTGGAAGCCTCTCGGGGGAAGAGGCCAAAGCAAGGACAGAGTTCCCTGGACCAGGACCCTGTGGCAGCCTGACTAGAAAATCCCAGTGTCCACTCCCTGGCCCATGGGAGCAGCAGAGCAGGCGTTTCGAGAGGCCCTTGCCCCGTTGTTCCTTGGGCCATTTCTGTAGTTTACAGTTAGAGCTCTATTTTGTTATGGGTTTTTAAACTTTAAGCCCTGCTCTGTTTTTCTGGGCGGGTTTATGTTAGTATTTACCCACTACAATTTTTTAAAGATGTACACTCGCATACCTTTCCTCTGCCACCTCCAAACCTCCCCCTAGCTAAGGACTGCTTCCTTGGAGCTGATCAAACCCACCCTCTTCTGCTCCTAGCACTTCACGTACAAGGGTGCTAGGGGCTCAGCCATGTGATCATTCTCCCTCACGTGGACCCCAGAGTGGATCTAGCATCCCTCCTCATCCTATGCTGGCTGGGATTTGGCTCTGGCCTAGTCCTGGAAAACCCTAGCTAGCCCTAAAAAGGGGCACCTGAAACCTTCCAAGGTTTACCTATTTCTCACTGCCTTGGGCTTCAGGAGGGGTGCTAGAGAAATGGGTAATTAGTGGTTGGGTAGGGTGGGCTGGTTTGGCACTGAACCTAGTTAGGGAGGTGAGAGGCTACAGCCCCTAAGCTTTTCTTCTAACAAGGTCCATGAAAAGCAGGCAAGCTGCTGGGAGACCTGAGAAGAGGAAAACCTTAGCCCTGTGCAGGTAGCATTTGTAGTGGGGAGGTGAAGCTGTGCCAGCCGCTTGGGGCTTCAAGTGGAGTGTTAGCTAAGGTGTAGAGAGACCAAATGTGACTCCCGAACATGTGAGCTTGTAAATGGGAAAAAAGCCTCTTGCTGAGGGAACTTGGACCTTAGCTGGCTTGGGAGGGAGGGAGGAAGGGCTAGATCAAATGGCTTCTCAGAGTCTCTTCCTGGCCAAGGGTCCTCTTGATTTCTGTACAGGCTGGGGAAGCTGTTGGACCGGCCCCTGCTATGGTCTTGACTGTTAAGAGAGTCCATCCATTCAGGATAGAGGTGAAAGGGACAGCCACAACCAGGCATTCTGCCAAGGTGTAACAGGCAGGAAATGCCCTGAGGGCTAGGGACAAAGATGCCTATAAATACCTCTTGAGGGGCTGGGAGGCGCCCTCCGTTCTGTTCATATAAGGACTCAGGCCACCACACTGAGCTTCTTGCCATCTGATGGTACCAATGAGTGATTCTGCCATCTAGGGCAGCAGGTAACCCTGACAGTAGGGGAATAGGGAGGCGATGGGGCAGGGATGAGAAGCTCGACAAAAAAAACAGGAGAGAAGCCAAGGTGAGAGAAGCCTTCAGGAATAAGGAAGGGGCTTCTTTTGGGTAACCTTTGAGGTATTTCCAGTGTTCTTTCGGATCTTGGTTGGGTGAAGTCCTGACTTGAGAAGTGGGAGGTGCTGAGTCCTTCCAGAGCTGAGACCTTAGACCCAAAATGCCTAGCACAGGGAAGCCGTAGAGGTACCGTCTGCAGCTTATTTAAAAAGCCATCAGTGGGAACGATCCACAGAACAGTCCTTACAAACTAGTGCCTTCCCCAGTGCCATCCTAGCCTGTACTCTAGCCAAGAGCTCAGCGTGGCTAGCCGAGCTATCCTTCCCTCACGCCTTTCCCAGCAACAGAGGCACCTTTTCTTTTCCTAGTTGTCAAACAGCCAATAGGGCTCCTGCATGCCAGGGGGACAGCAGTATCCTCATACCTGTTAGGAGTTTAAGTGTGGCGCTTGGTCTCGCTAGCTGAGACCATACCTTGCCAGGGAGTCTCCAGGTGGAAGTTAAGAGGTATCCTAAGGGACATCAAGATGCTCACTGGAAAAAGTGCTGGCAGCTAGGGGTGGTGTGTGCCTCTTGAACTGTATGTGGTTCCAGGCCTTGGGAAAGCAGGGCATTAAAGAAAATGGGGGTGGGGGGGAGAGGGGCGGCAGAATCAAACAGCTCTGTTCAGAGCCCCACATCTAGGGCCCTTAGTTTCTTTAGAGGAGATGCAACCTGCCTTGGCATCAGATACCTCCAACGTAGCCCCCATTTCAGAGCCCACAGAGCTCTGAGCTCAGGGCTTTACTGGACCACTGACTGATGTGCAGCTCCTCCTCCCCAGCCCACTGTTCGCTCTTGTAGTAGTAATTTATTGACTCTGGTAGCAAGCAGTTCTTAAATAAAGATGTTTTCTCAACCTGGCTAGGCAGCTGACAGCAGCTGCGCATCTTACCTCATTACAGCCTGTCTCCTGGGCCTGTCCTTCAGCCAGTACATCCACCCCTCACAAGGCCAACTCTGAGGAAGCTGTGCACACAGTCCACACTGCTTCCTCCAACCAAAGAAAAAGGCAGGCCGGGAGACTTGCAGACAGACAGAGGCCGAGCGCTATTGGCATCCTAACAGGTTTCACCTAATGGTGGTCAACATGCTGGAGGGGGGTGGAGCCACTTCCAGTTCCTCTGATTTCAATCTGAAGTATTGACTCCCTGGTCCCAAAGGAGAGTCTCCCCATGAAGAGATTAATGTCCCCAACTAGTATGGAGGTGACCGTCACCTCTGTTGTTCGATCAGGGTGGCACAAAGTGGTGGAACTCCTAGTCAATTTCCAGCCTCGACACTTTCCTATCAGACTTCCCTTCCAGGTAAGCACGAACAGGGATACACGCAGGCAGTTCCAGTTTGGTTTTCAGTGACAAGTAGGTAGGACACATGTTGTGCCCCAGTTTTTTTGTTTTGTGTGTGCTTGTTTTTGTTTTGTTTTTTTGTTTGGAAGAATAGGAAGGTGAATAGAGGCCTCTCGAATCAATGCTTAGCTTTCTGACCAGAGTCCTTCCAGCATGGCAGGGAGACCACACAGACTTTAGTTTTTAGTCACCGTTCACCTTCCCAGGGCAGTTATATACACAAGACTCAGGGAACTGAATTGAGGGGGGCTTGCTGCTGAAACCAGAGCCAGGTAGATGCTAAGCGGGATCCTGCGAAGTTGCCCTGGTTGGCCATGAGCTCACTATGTAGCCTAGCTTGGTCTTGAATTAGTTTGCCTCAGTCTCCTGATTGGCTGGGATTACAGGAATTTGCCACCTCGACCAGTCAGAACTATGCTAATGTCTTTACAAAGCCCATCTGGGTCCTTTGTTCTCCTTTTCGATCAGTTGCATCAAATCCTGAGTCAAAATTCAAGCACCCAAAGCACAGAGAGGCGCCTATGAGAGAGCTAGCCGCCTTAGGCTTGACTACTGCTCTGCCACAGAATGCTGGCCAAGTGTTAAATGTCTTGTCCTAGGTGGTTTCCATCTACAAAATGTGAAGCAGGAGCCTTCAGCAGTACGGTACCAAGTTTCTTCCACACAGACAGAATTCATCACCGACCCTTTAACAATGAGCTATCCCTGAATGTTTTGGCAGACTGCCTAGGACTGAATGACATAACAGGCCCCAAACCCAGCACTTCAGTTTACAAAACAGCTTACCTCAGGGGATCTCTCTGGGGTGCCTCCAGACACCTGTGGCAAAGACCAGGCTGTGACAGACAGGGGTAACCTCTCAGCCTCCTGGTGTGGCACAGTAAGTATGCATCTATGTAGGGCTCTTTTCAGCGTTGAACAGCCACTCCTCATGAGCCCAATCACAAGGATATGGCAAAGTCCAGGTTGAGGGACAGTATCTAAGACAAGCCTGATTCTTCAGTGCATTGATGGCATGAGTAAGGTGAAGGACTTGCTAAGAGACCAAAGAGAAAAACATCGAATGGAGCACACGAAATCTTTGATTCTGGATTAAGATTATGCTAAAAAAAAAAAAAAAAGCTTTAGGGGTTTTAAAAATAGAAACCTGAACAGAATCCAGCTGTGAGACTGGCAACTGCTGGTTTTTCTTGGTGTGATACAGGCACATGGCTATGCAGGAGAAAGCTCAGCTGGTCATCAAACGCTAGGTATGGAGGTGCACATTTGTAATCCTGGCACTGGAGAGGCAGAGACAAATGGATTCCTACGCCTCACCAGCCAGCCAGCCTATCTTTATCTGTGAGTCCTATGTCCCAGCAAAAGACCCTGTCTCAAACAAACAAGGCCCCTTTCCCAGTAGATGTCACATGAGGAACAACCACACAGGTTGACTTCAGGCCCCTGACCTCTATACCCATGCATCCACATATACTCATATACGCGCGCGCGCGCGCACACACACACACACACACACACTCAGAGTCATCTTCCTACCTAGTTATCAAATGATTCCACAAAATCAATATATATCTAGAAGCATTCTTGTGGTGACTCTGGATGTTGAGTCTATGGGTGGGGTGGTGGGGTGAAGGAGATGCCCTCCAGCATTTGAATACTTGGTTCCTAGTTTGGTGGCTGTTTTGGGAGGACAGGTGTGACCTTGCCAGAGGAAGTTATGGCACTGGGGGTGGACTTAGACGTTGATCTCCCTCTGCTTCCTGCTTTTGACTTGAGAAAGGAACTCTCAGCTGGTGCTTCAGCCCTCTGCCACAGCTCCATCTGTCATCATGGACCCTGTCCCCTTGAACTGTAAACCCCAAATAAACTTCCTAGGTTGCTTTTCTCGTGTTTTATCACAGCAACAGAAATGTAACTAATTTGGGGTGGGAGTCACCAAACCTTTTAAAAAGAAAACACTAGTCATCCTTTGGTTATAATTTGAACTGGATTAGCATCTCTGGGTTGGGGCTCAGAAATGTTTAGTGTTCAAAGTCATCCAGGTGATTCTGGCACAGCTAAGGAAGAGGAGTGTGGGGGCTCGGATCCCAGCACTCCTGTAGCTCCATAAAAGGAAGGAGAAATGTTCTCCTGCTCTCAGCTGGTGCCCAGGAGCCTTTCCCCCATGGGTTCCATAAACCAATCACCTCAGGCTCCCCCTGAATGACCCTTAAGGGGCTTAAGACTGGATTTCCTCAAGAGAAACCAAGGCAGCGGTCCTCCTTTGGGGACTTCGGTGGCTTTAAGAAACTAGTACACTTGTCCTTTCCAGGAACACAAACCCCAAGTACAGATAATGCAAAACAGAGGAGCACAGCAAAGTCTGCAGTGACCAGGAGCCAGTGTTTTGCCAGGACATCCAATTTAATACTGAATCCAGAGGGCTATCTAGGGAGGACAGGGAGGGCAGAGAACCTATCAACACTTAAGACTGTCTATCCGCTGACTCTGATGTCATGCTAATAACCCTTCCAACACAGAGCCATACAAAGCAATCTGTCCAATGCATGTTCTAGGAAACCCAAGGAATGTAAGAGCCAGGACAACTATGGGGCAATTTCTTTTTTTTTTTTTTTTTTTTTTTAGGTTTTTCGAGACAGGGTTTCTCTGTATAGCCCTGGCTGTCCTGGAACTCACTCTGTAGACCAGGCTGGCCTCGAACTCAGAAATCCACCTGCCTCTGCCTCCCAAGTGCTGGGATTAAAGGCACGCGCCACCACCGCCCGGCAATGGGGCAATTTCTACACGAGAAATTTTACATAAAATAACCAAGAGTTAGGCTGTCATACAGTCCCTGTGAATTATTATTTTTATTGAACAAAAATAAAAAGTTTCCCAAAATGAAAGGCTGCAATTAGTACATCTGGTCCATACATACTGATCAGAGAGGTGGAGTGGGGGTGAGAGGCACACACACTGTGAAGCACGGCAGAAAAGCAAGCTTGGAAGACAGAACTCCTCCTAGGAACAGAAGCAAAGCCTGCAGTGGCTCTCCTGAGCACCTAGTATCAAGGGAACCTGAGTACAATGGTGGATGCTGTCCTGAACTACCATGAAGTTGCATCCTCCAAGCCTCCTAGCCAACTCTGGCTGAGAGTCCTCTTTTGCCACTTGACCGTCAGAGGCACAAGACACTCGCATACAAGCTAGCTCAGCTTCCTGGGCACCCAGGCAGCCTCCTAGGAGGAAGGCATGTATTATAAGCTGATGAGATTCCTATTGCCATCGGTCCCTCCCAAGACCCTGCAGACAGCAATGCTCACCAACACACCGCCAACCACTCCAGCAGCAATCCCTATGCCCAAGGCTGATGTCACTTTCTTTTGCCACACTGGGAGGTGAGGCTTAGACTCGTTGTCGAGATTAACTTCCCAGCCCTCGTCTACCAACTTCTGATTCTCAGTAAGGGACTGCTGGAAATTTAGGTTTACCAAGTTTGGAGGAAGGACCCTTAGCCCAAAATAGAGCCTCTTGACAAGTTTCAGGTTTTTTAGCCGCTGCACGTCACATCGATACGTCCCAGAGTTATACTCATAGGCCGGTTTAAATCGTAGAAAGGGGGAGTTGGCTCGGAAGGGTTTAAAAATCTCATCATTAGTAGAGATGATGCCCTGAGCAAGCTTCCAGGTGAAGCGGAAAGCTTCCTGCCCCTCCTTCAGGATGTCTGGGCTTAGACAGCTCAGCTCAAACTCCTTCCCATGGACAATGGTGAAATGGAGCATTCCACAGATCCAGTTGGTCAGACACTCCAAACGCTGGGATTTGCAGTCCCTCCTCAGTCCATGAGGGCCCACCAAACAGTCTGTCTCTTCCTTGTAGCCAAGGCCACATGTAACACTGCATGCTGTGGTATTGACGACGACTCTCCCCACAGCTTGTTGTAGTTTCTCAGGGACGTCCAACGGTTCAGGTGCCGTCAATACCAAAGGCAGGTATGTTATCAATACCAGGCTCCCAAGGATAAGAGCAGTGGCCCCAGTCTTCATGACTCAGTAAGTATTTTATCAGCAGGCATTCCAGATGAATGTTCTATCACACTAGAACAGATCCTCCAGCTTGGAAGAGCCCTGAGCACTGAGAGATTATAATGTATAGCTGTCAGCAAAACAGACACATACACAGATGTGTACAGAAGCTCGGTCCATATTCCCAGGTGAGGCCACAGGCAGGAAGACTTTCACAATACTGTTGTTTGACTCTCTAAGCTTACTTGCTTAAGCCTGCCAGGGGCATCTTCTCAGGTATAATTCTTGTCACTTCCTAATGAACTTAAACCCACAGGCTTGAGAAGAAAAAAAAAGGAAAAGACCTCAGAAGCTGAAGTGAATTTCCATGTTACCCCAACTCTTTCCCTCCCTTCCAAACTGTGGGAGACTTTCAAAGTCCCATGCTAAATCTGATCAAATATGAAAGCCAGTCTTATGAAAGGGGTGAGGCAAGGCTGGGTTAGGATATTGAGTATCTTGAATAATTTACTATGAATATATCTAAACCACATCTGTTAAAAAGATAACTCTGGCTGGGTGTGGCAGCGCACGGGTACTCAGGAGGCAGAGGCAGGTGGATCTCTGTGAATTCAAGGCCAGCCTGGTCTACAGAGTGAATTCCAGGACAACCAAGGCTGTTACATAGAGAAACACTGTCTTGAAAAAACAAAAGAGATAACTCTGGACTGGAGTCACCTGACTCACTAAATTCCCATCTTTCCCCTTGTCCATTTCAGGAAGGCCACTTTGAACACCGCGCCTGAAAACCCCTTTCCCAGTGTTAACTACCTTTCTCTGTACAGACTTTCAAAGGAATGGAAAGCAAGGCATAGTGACAACAGCCTGGAAGAGGCAGGACTGCTGGCAAACTCAAGGCCAGCCTGGGCTAAACAGGCTTTTGAGAAACAGACTGAGAAAAGAAAAAGCTTTAGTGGAGTGCGTCAGAACACTTGCCGAGCATTTGTGAAGCTCGGGTTTGCTCCCCATCACCTCACACACTGGGCGTGTAGCACAGCCCTTTTCCCAGCACTCACAAAGATCACCGAAGATCACAAGTTCCAGGTCACCTTCAGCTACACACAAAGTGTGAGACCAGCCCGAGTTACAGACACTAAAGGGCACTGAGGGAGAATTTAGTCCAACACACCCTTCCAAAGGAGCAAATGAGGGCGCAGAGGCAGCCCGTCCTGTTCCAGGTACTCTCTTCTAAGTGAATCAGGACCTGCTTACTGAGGATAAATGATGCTGCCTGACTCTAGTCAGTTCTAGACATCACAGAGGAGCTCATTGTTTGCATCAGTGAAGGTTGCTATGAAACAGCTATGATGCTCAAGATGGGTTCTTAGTGACAGAACAGATTAGTAAACAGACAGATGTGGTAATCATTAAAACCAGTGAGTTTCTGAGCCATCTTAGTCTCTATGAGACAGTGACTATTCTATATTGGTGTTAAAGTTACTTCATCAGAGAACAGGACTAACAAGGAAGAATTTAACTACATGTAGACTAACATGGATCTTTGGAAGGCTAGAACCTCTAGAGTGCACTACTGTACCCTCCCAGAATGCCTAGCACTGTGGCCTCTTCAAAACTTATATGGAGTTAAAGAGTATGAAGAGAAATTCCTATGTGACTGTTTTCATTAACATCAGCTTTTGACTCAAATCATTTATTTCTAGTTTGTACAACAGAAGAACTCCAAACTGCCTGACCTTTCCGGATCCAAATGACCACAGGACAGATCTAAACGCCACACGTATTGTCTATTGCGCAAACACAAAGGTGGCTGCTGAGGTCTACGAGCAGGCAGTGTTTACAAACAAACATGTATACTTGTGGTTTAATAAACATCCAATTTTATTTACAAAGCATTAAAGCTTTAGCAAGAAGTATCCAAGGCTAAGTCTCATCTTGTACAAAACTACAGAACATTTTAAGAAACAAAACAGAGAGAGGCAGGGAAGATCACAGCAAGGAAGAAGAGAATATACATATATTACACAATCAAAAATCTGAGCTGAAAGTGGATGGAAGGTTCTAGAAGCTGACGAAAAGATTCCAAAAGCATAAATAATTATTAGGAGCTGCTGCCAGACACAATCCGGCAGGGTTTGAGCTGATTTACTCAGTAGCTCGTTAATGGAAATGGACACAGCATTAGCATCCAGATGGAGGAAATCAAGCCACTTCACACAGGGAAGGCAGGAACCCCTGTATCAGTTTGCACACCACTACGATGTGCTGTACAGACATGACATGGAGATAACGTGTACAAATAAAAACATGTCCTGTGAGCCACTTACCAATCACAACCATTGGTCTCACTCACACTTGAGGAAGCAGCACCAGAATGACACTGGAGACTTCCTGCTGTGTCCCCTGTCACCTCTACCCCACAGTACAATGTAATCAATGGGTTTGGCTGTCTGAAGGAGCCTCCACCAACTGATAGAGATTTCACAATTAGCATAGTATTTAAACCTCCTTTCCGTGCTGAGAGAGTATGACCCAGGGCAAGTCAAGCTATTGCCAGAGGCGTCACTAACCCTTTGCACACTCGGCTTCCTGACTTTGGATTTTCAGAAAATTTCAAACACTTATTGTACAAATCCATTCAATTTGCTATTTTTATTAAAAGAACAGCAAATGCAGAGAGAGCCAGAGTGAGAAAGAGAAGGGTAAAAAGCTAAGCAACCTTTCACAGAAAGGAAGTTGAGTGAAAAGACAGTAAAAGGGACGTGGCTCCAGGAAAGGATACACTACGGCTGCTGGGGACAGGTTCTCCACAGGAAATGATTTAACGAACAAACCTGATCTTTGATTTCAAGTGGGCTGCTGTTGCTTTGATTTTGGGGATCTCAGGTCAGTCCCTGCACAGTGCGCCACACCCATAAAAAACAAACCTTGTGGAGAAACACACCTTGCTTTGTTTCTAACTCTGGAAGTCAACACAGGTAAAGTAATATACAAACTACTGATGATTCTTAGCTGGAGATGGATAAAACTAATCATACCCCAAAACCATGATTATTCAAACAGATCTGATACTGGAAAACATGCAATGCAAGGGAAACCCCTGATTCTCTAGAGCCCAGCCTCCTGAGCAAAGGTTCTGGTAAGACAGAGTGATATGGGCCTTCTCTCTTCCTTCCTTTCCTGCCAGTTTGAAATCTTTCGAGCACTTGCTTTTCTGCCCAACCTTTATACACAATATAGAAATACAGGAAGCATTCAGGAGGGGAAAGTTATGAATGAAAGAAACAGAAAATGCATCAGTTTTCCTAGGTACTGGTAGCAAATTTTCAGAAAAGAACAAGTCACTCGAGGACATGCATTGAGGATGGAAGGCAAACAGGAGATGGGAAATGACATGTCCAAAGGTGTGACTTCAACAGTTAGGTGAACAAAACATGGGCATTCTTCACCAGCAACACAACCTCGTGTGAAGTTGAAGTGGGTCAAATCTCCTGGCGTCTTCACGCATCCTCGTTCCTGAGAGCCTATTTGGACTTATGCTTGAAAGGGAAGGCAGGGATGTGTGCTCTTCTTCCATAATTCACTTCTTCATTCAAACATAAAATCCACTCCTTCACCTCCTAGGTGGGAGGCAGAGGCCTTTGTTTTCAACTAAAGCCAATCTTAGATGATTGGCCACACTGTCCAAAGGCTACCTGACGACAAAGTGAGAAGAACCAAGAACTTCACGGTCTTCATAGTAGTTCTGAGATTGCTCCTCCTGCTAAAGAGATTAGACACCAAAAGATTCCTTTTAGTATTTCAGGCAGGCATACATCGGCTAAGGATGTATCCCTTTGAAGAAATATGCATAACCCAACTCCCAATCACTCTTCACTGAACAACCACCCATCCTGTTTCAGCACTGTCCCAATGTGTTCCGAGGAGTGTAAATGGATGCGCATCTATATAACTGCTAAGCTGATGACCAGGCTCTCTGGTGATTGCAACAGACAAAGTAAGGGTGCTGACCCTTTCAGTCTTTCACATGTTAGACCAAGCAGTCACTAAGATTAACAGTGAATAAGACATCCTCTGTTCAAGCCCCACTGTTCCTTAAGTGACAGTCACATCCTTACTATCTTGGAGCCCAGATGAGGTATGATGCTGACAAGACCTACTGTCTGTGTTTCTGTGCACCAAGAACTGCTAAGAGAACAGAATCCTGAATAGTAAGATCAAATAGCCACTTCCCTGATGACTCCATAGAAGCTGTTCAACTTCTGAGGGACATCTTTAAATGGGCTGCTGTAAGATATTAACTAAGAGGTATAAAAGAGAACAAGGTGAAGAAACGCCTCCTGGGTAGAACTTAAGTGAGGGTTACACAATACCTGGAGTTGGACAATGGTGAAAAGTAACTGCATAAGTAATAAAAGAAAGGTGTTCATTTACAAAGTTGCTCTGAATGTTATTTTTATTTATTTTTTTAAAGATTTTTTAATTTTATGAATGAGTGTTCTATGTACACCTGTATGCCAGAAGAGGGCGTCAGATCCCATTACAGATGGTTGTGAGCCACCATGTGGTTGCTGGGAATTGAACTCAGGACCTCTGGAAGAGCAGTCAGTGCTCTTAACCACTGGGCCATCTCTCCAGCTCTGAATGTTATTTTTAAAATGAAGCTCTAATATATAAACGAAAACTGACAATAAAAGCAGTCACACTTGCTGAGGACAGATGGAAATTAAGACAAGATACAAGCTTTCTACTGAATTCTGTATTGATAAAAGTAAAACTTTATAATTTCAAAAGACATGTTTGTATTTGGCACTTGTTTCTCAAATCTCCTTCAATATAAAACACAAAGAATTTGCTGAGTTGATTTAAAACTTAAGATAACAGAATACAGTCTACTAGACTCAGTTCATTTACTTCTTTCACTACCTGCTCCCATAGGTACCCTGACCAACTGAGTTTTCAGGTTACAAATTAGCACAGCACTGCCAATCGAACTATTAATCATGATGGAAACAAGTGGTTTGGTTACAAGTTGACACCTTTAATAAATAGGTACTCCAGACAAGTAATGAGTACCTTCTACTGTCCAAAATAGTTCACAGTCCTCTATCATCCCCACCCTTAAGAAAGACAGCATGCATATTTACACATAGAGGCTTACTGAGGCATTAGGCAGCAAACTAAAATCAGAGCAAGCAACACTACTAGCAAGGAAATATGTAAGAAAACAGCTCTACAAGGCCTGCAGCATCTGGCTCATAGAAACAATACTTAGTTGCATCATACAGGAAATCTCCAGCAAAACAATATGAAGAAAAAAACTCAGCTTGCGATTCAGTTATTTTTGATCTATTTTAGTAGAGCCTAATTCAGGATGGCTAAAGAGAACATTCAGACATGATTTCCAATCCTTCATTGGTCAACTAGGAGGATCATACAGAACGAGACAGAATATCCAACTAGGTATCAAGTCTTAGTAGAACCCATAAATTAGTCTTTGAGAGAGTAATTATTTCTAAAAAAGAGAGAAAGAAGGGTAAATGAGCAGTTAACTCACTACTGGCATTTCTAACCAGGGTTGTGGCAAGTGATTAGATAGGTCTAACTCCAGAAGGCAGTGATAGTTGCTCCAAAGTAAGGCAATCTGCATGGTGTTTCTCTAAGCAGCAGCTCTTCTGCTCATTTTGGCCTTTGACACCTTCAACGGATCCAGGTATATATCAAGCCACTAGTGTCTATCATGGGGGGCGGGGTAAGATTCTATTTGTGACAAACCAGTGCTTGTGGCATTGTGCTGGTGAGGAATCTTAAGTCTTGGGTAACAAGGAAAATGGAGCTTGTGCTCTCACCTCAAGCTCGGGAAGGTAACAGAAACACAGATTAGACAATGGTGTCAACAGGCCTGTCCCTAGAGTCTCCAACTCGGGGTTACTCTTATCAGGCTTCCTTGAGAGGTATCCTCATGAGTGCTGGCCCTCCTATGCAATTCAACACTAACAAGGTATGGGACATCAAAATCTGGAGTCAGTGGCCCCAGACTCCAGATTGACAGTGGTCTATTTGCCTTCCAATTTCCTCTTGATCCTTAGTCTGTTGTAACATGTAACATACAATGGCAGCTTTTTGTTAAGAGTCATTAAGGTTTACAAAATGTATTCTGTAGTAAACGGCCATTTGCACATACTAATAAAGAGCTATCATTTATTTGGCTGGAGCATAACACAGCTTACCCCTACAATTCTGTCCTCAAAATTTTGACACTAATGCAAAAATTATCCAGTCAAAAGGAGTTCACACCTTTGATCCCAGCACTCAGAAGGCAGAGAGGCAGGTGGATCTCCATGAATTTGAGGCCAGCCTAGTCTATGAAGTGAGTTCCAGGACAGTCAGAGCTACAAAGAGAGACTCTGCCCCGACTGTCCCCCCACCTACCCTCCCCCCAAAAAAGAAGGGGGGGGGCACAGAAATGAACCTTTAACACAATCCTCAGAGCAGACTGTTTTGTTTCTGCAGTGCAGAGAGTAGAACCTATGGCCTTGCACATGCTAGGCCAGTTCTAACACTGACCTATACCTGACACTGTGGGCTAATATTTAAAGAGATCTCTGCTACAGGTATTTTGGATGAGTTTTATTTTTTTAATATCTGGTGGAAAACAATTCCTTTTTTTTTGTATTTGTTTTTTTGGTTTTTCGAGACAGGGTTCTCTGTGTAGCCCTGGCTGTATTGGAACTCACTCTGTAGACCAGGCTGGCCTCGAATGCAGAAATCCGCCTGCCTCTGCCTCCCAAGTATTGGGATTAAAGGTGTGCGCTACCACTGCCCGCTAACAATTGCTATATACTATCTTTTATTGAAAATATCTGAAGTACCAAATAACATGGGTTACTTGTAAAACTATCTATCAGCTTCCTTAGAGGCGCCTGGGCCACAGTAGCTCCAGGTTTGCTCAAGAACATCCAAACCCTTCATGCTACTGAATGAAGAAGCCCTTGACTCAACCAAAGAACCCTGCACAGAAGATATGACAGCTTACTCTGAAAGCAGTGTTTCTAGAATTATGTAAAACTCAAAACAAATCTGCAGCCTCACAAAGTTCCAAATGGTACTAACCTGTCAGTAAAGCCACAAGCAACCCTCTGAAGGTCTTGGAACCATGCCTCAAGATCCCTGCTGAGGTTTTACTAAAGGTTGTGGTATTTAGTCTATTCTGGAGATTTCCATTCAGGAAAAGGAGAACACAGGAAGGACACAGAGTTGCATGGAGAAGCACACGCAGCATGCAGTCGGGAGGAGCTGCAGGGAAGGAGCTGCTCTGCCCCTAATAAACCATCGTCCTCTCACCTCAGCAGGGGCAGTCTCTAGTCCTTAAGGACAGAGCTGTTAAATAGCTGCCTCCTCTTAAGGCTCATCCACTTCAGTGCTTGCCAGAAGCAATTAGGACAAGCCAGCACGGAACTACCCTGCTCCTAAAGACACAGTTCTACCTTTAATGCCTCAGTACTTCCTGCAACCTGGAGGCTAAATAAGGTGACACTGAATGTGTCATCATCACAAAGACCCTAGGAGAGTTCCTATTCTTCAAAGCTGAAATGCTGGCCTACATGAATACCCAGTAGGCACCTCACACAAGTCAGAATATTACTGCAACTCTTTATTTGAGGAATTTGAGGAATAAAAAGCTCATTCTCTAGGACTGAAGACACTTTCCAACATTTTGATCTTGGTTCTCATTTAGAAATTTAGTTACGGTGGCTACTAGTGAACATATGAACTAAAATTGAAATTTTAAGTCGTTCTATCATTAAAACTTATTATTAAAATTCTAGAATTTTAAAATTCTGTAGTTGTTTATCATATATATATATATATATATATATATATATATATATATATATATATATATATCTCCTATTGAAAAGCACAAGATTAATTTCAACTATTTTTTTCCTGGTGATACAGTTCAAACACAGGGCCTTGAACAAGTTGGGCAAATGCTGCTCCTTGGAGCTGTAACACAGATTCCCCAAGTCTTTATAGAATGGTCCTGAAGAATTAGAGGGGAAAAAAGTTAGGCATGCTCGCACACACCTTTAACTTCAGCACTCTGGAGACAGAGGCAGGAAGATCTCTCGAAGTTTGAAGTCAGCCTGGTCTGTGACATGGTGAGAGGCCCTTTCTTTGATTTAAGAAAAGAAAAACAAGCAGAAGCAGGGAGAGTCTGTCCTAAAGTGCTCTGATTAATTTTATACATCTAGCCACATTTTAAATCATGCTAAAAGCAACTGGGCTTTTTGTGCCAGGAAAACCTACTCCAGCTTCACATTAGGTTTCTTCTTAACTGTTAATCTTATGCACATGGGCTATAGAAAGACAATTTTTGTCTGTAACAATCAAGTACCTATTCCTCTGTAGTCAGTTACTGATCTGTGGTCTTTGCTGACTCTTTCATGATCCACACACACAGCCTCAGAACTCAGCATGGAGGTGGAAACTCTAACAGCCATACTGGCTGTACTCAGTGGTACAGTGCTGCAGTGTGAAAACCTCAAGTCTAGATATACCAAACTTAGGGGACTAATGACCAACTTGCCTTTTCAATTTTTCTACAGAAAATAATTCCTATTTATAGGCAATAATTAACTAGCAAAAGTACAAACTGAACAAGGAATTCTGCAGCATAATATTTATCATATTCACTTTTAATACATTTAAATTAAATTTTAAAGTGGAGGGAAAAAACTAAATATAACCACTGACCTTTCATCTAACCTATGTCAATTAGGCACACACACACAGAAAAGAGTATTATATTAACAAAGCATCTCTCTCTCTCTTTCTCTCTCTCTCTGTGTGTGTGTGTGTGTGTGTGTGTGTGTATGACATGTATGTCTAATGGGCAGATACAGACTTAAGTCCCAAGGACATTTAAGTGAAGATGAGCTCCAACTTGATCATTATTTTTCAAACAAACAGGAGTTAACTGGTTTACAGGTATTTCCATTCCTTGATAAAACTCCCTCAATCGTGTCTCGTATGTTGGGGGCTGAAAGGCTCAGATGTTAAAGGCTAAGGCTCACAACCTAAAGGACAATTACAAGTTAAAAAGCTACACTCTTGTCTTTTTGGCAATTTCCTCCTATTGTCAAATATTGGAGGAAACCTCAAAGCCTTTTTTTTCCCTTAACATTATGGTACTGATAACAAACTGTCAAGGAAGAACCTTACTTCTTGAGAATCTCAAAGGTACGTAGATGCTGAAGTTTAATAGTCAGGTGCTATATCAAACCAGCTTGTATTTCTGGCTACTTATCTTGGGGTACATATAAAAGACAAACTAAAGAAAAATCTACAAATAAAAATGTAAAAACTAAACACCAAGGACAGATACAGACTAAGAAATGTATTAACTGGAGGCTCATAGCTTTCTGGGTCATAGATTTTCCTATAGGAATCTAGTGGAAACTAGGGGGTTCTTACCCATAAAAACACTCACATAACACTTTGTATGTATCTGGGACCTTTGAAATCTACTTATGGACCTAGGGTTGAAGGCCAATGAATAAATTAACTTTTGGTTTAGCTTGCCCTTAGCAGTTTGAACTTAAGAGACTACTTGATGCTGGGAGAAGGAAGGAAGACAGGGAGGGAAAATCCCACTGCAGTTAAAGGAAGTCAGGAGCTGTACAAAGCAAGGCCACAAAGCAAGCCGGACGGTGCTCCCAATGTGTCCTTACCTGCCAAGGGCTGGCTGAGTTCCGCCTGCACTTTACCCTTCGTTGATCCTTCCAGAGGTAAACCTCTGTCCCCTTTGTAGAGTTTCGGTTTAAATGGAGAATCTTTCTCTTTACCTTTTGATCCTTTAGGCCGGCCTGCTTGCTTCTTCTTGGATTTGCCATCCCCCTTCACACCCAGTAGTGGATGGACTTCTGCAGACAGACAGACAGACAGACAGCCATGAAAGACAGTGCATACCACCTGGGTCCTGCATCCCAACTAGACCTTTGAGTGCAAAGAGCATTGCTTTTGTGTCCCATATCACTACTCTAAGAAAAATAATTGATTACTATTAAACTACAAACGAATGTCTACTAAACTGACAATCCTTGCTAGACCAAAGGCATACAATCTATGTGGTTTATACCAAGCCACTGCAACTCCAAATCAGAAAACAATTAAAATACTCACTCATACTGAGTTGATCCAAGCCTGCACAGTAGTGTGTAGGACAGCACAGGCATAGGATCGATCAGAAAACAAATGAAGAGACCAAGGCAAGAGGCCTGAGTCCACCACTTTCTGTGAGACCTTGGACAAGTTATACAACTTTGGTCCAACTTTTCTCCTTTGCAAAGAATAATAATAGTAAACTAACTTGCAGGGCAGATGAAAATATGAGCGGTGTATAGACACTACACAGTGGTGCCTGGAATCAGGTATGTACATCAGCGACTGTACAATTGTCATTGCAACATGTGGTAATAAAAGCTCCCAATCCCACTGTAAGAGCAAGAAGGAAGAAATAACCATGTAGCTCTGACTGGCACTTTACTCTATGGGGGAGAGGAGGGGATAAACAGTTCAAGGAAACAAATCCTGAGCCGTGTGTCAGAAGACAAAGTGTGTCATCTTAGGCATGACACTGGAGGGCAGAGTCCTCACTTTAAAAGTGAATACAAACTCAATCATCACAGAGCTGTAAAGCATGTAGAAAGACTCATGGGAAACTCCTTTAAAATAAAAATGGCTCAAGTAGGAAATTATGTATTGTGCCCACGAGTATGAAGTAATGAACCTGTAGACATGGGGAGTAAAGAGGCGACTCTCACCGTCATTCGGCACTCCTTGGAGCTCTATATTGGTTGTTTTAGGTTTCTTCTTTGGTGGCTGGGACCCATCTGCTGAAGACTGCCTCTTCTTCTCTGAACTAGCCCCTTCATCCATCAAGGAGGTTGGAACTGCATCCGGTGGGGGGCCATACGGATTTTCTTCAGGGTCTTCTACCTCAGGGGCAATGGGTAAATACAATAGAGCCTTTGAATCTTCCAGCTCTTCATCACTATTTGGAACAGGATCAGACAAGGGATTGGAAAAAAGAGGAGATAGTTGCTTAAACCACAAGCCCTTCAGCCTTTCTTCTTGTGCCTATATTTAGTACACACAACAGTTACAGCTCTAGACTTTAAGAAAGCTGAAATGAAGAAAAGAAATGAGGTCGGAGGACAGTGAGCTCACAACCTTAAGTAGACTAAGTTCATTACTGCAGTTTGTTTATGTTGTTTGTTTCAGACCCCCAGACAGGTTCTCTCTGTATAACACTGGCTGTCCTGGAAATCACTCCATAGACCAGGCTGGCCTCAAATTCAAGAGATCCCTACCTCTGCCTCCCAAGTGCTGGGATTAAGGTAAGCTCCACCATGCTTGGTTTTACTTCAGCTACTTAAAATCTGTATCACATTTTTTTTTTTTCTTCAGCAAAGGACTGTTCTCTATTCTACTAGTAAGCAGTTGGGAGCGAAGGGAAAGCTGGGGACACTGGGCAGTGCACAAGAGACAGGACCAACACTCAGCCTTGGACGCTGCTCACCTGCTACAGAAGGCAGCGATGGGGTCCACGCTGGTGACGTCCACTTCCTCATCTTCAGCAGCATCAGCACCTGTAGGAGAGAATAGTGGAGAGACTTGAAAAGAAATGGTAAACTGCTTTTCACCTAACAACAACCCAACAGTTCATTTCATCCAATCACTTAACAGTAAGGGCTGAATCCCCACTAGATACTAACACTGGAAACAGTGACAACGAAGAGGTCGAGAACAGCTCTTCAGTAAGTCTCACAGTCTACCCAGGGAACAGACAGATCATTTCAACATAATACAGTACAAAACTATCTACATCTACAACTATCTAAATCCAAGGAGATGTAAGTTACCTAAAACCCCAAAGTGAAAGCAGTTTCAAGCTGGAGAGATTCAAGTCTCTTTTCTTTAATCCAATTCCCTAATTCTTAGCACCATGAAGTTGCCCAGCTGTCAAAGATCTGTCCTTTAATTACAATGCCAGCTAGGCATAATAAACATTCACATACACATATGTATGCACGCACATACATACACACCTAGTATGTACAAAGTTCATACTGTGTTAAAAACCTGAAAGAGAAGTCAAATCTCAAGGGAGTAGTGATGCACACACGTACTCGCAGCCCTGGGGAGGCTGGTGCAGAAAGGTTAGGGGTTTGAGGTCCGGCTGTGCTACAGTGAGACTCTGCCTCCAAACAGCAAATAAAAAAGGTCAGAGCTTTATTTTCAGGGAATTCCTATTCAGAAATTTAGAAGATGAGGTTAAAAATAACAACGATTATGATCATAATAATAAGACTCCGGCGTTCTTCGTAGAGGCTGAGCATACACTTAAGTGCTTTACAAGAATTATCCACTTATCCGCTACAATGCACAGACAGGGGTGCTACCATTATCCCCTTAGAGATGAGGCATTCAAGTATAAGTAGTTTGCCAAAAGCTGCCTAGTACCAGAGCCCATGCTCTTGACCCTTTGACTACAAATGGAGATGTACCAAAAGACACACCGTCAACGAAGCCTGAGCACACCTCTGTGCCTTGAGTGTGGGGTATGTAGATCCTCACTTAACAACCTGTAACTCACCAGGAAATATAGGTGAAAGGTCACGAGCGCTGCCAGAGCACTGGCAATGCCCACGTGAGCCTGTAAGTAGCACACACACAGACTCTTCAAGACTGGGAAAACTACATACTCACGAGAGAACAGTGGCAGGTGAAGCTTTAAGTACGATTACCACACAAAGTAAATAAATTCATTCATTAATTTAATAAAGAGTATTAAGTAAGACAATTATTTTCCTTTTGGAATACCATCTGCGGTGGAGAGGCCTCACCTGTCTGCTCAGGCTCACTCTTATCTTCATCCTCAATATCAAATTCTGATTCTCTTTCCTCATATTCTACATTTTCATCCAACTCTTTGAAATCTGGTGCAAATGCACTCCAATTTTCCTATGACAAAACAGACAAGTCATCAAACAAAAAAAAAAAATCAGTAACAATGTAAGTTTTGACAACTTATCTTCAGCATGAAACAGACTAAGCATTCTAAGATCAAACCTGGGATAAGAGATTAAAATCTTAGGTATCTAAGGGTTTGCCATCTTGATTTATTTTCTATATAAGCACTTCAAGTTTATTAATTTCCTTTAATCCTTTCAAAATGTACTTCACAAAGGTAGTTTAAGAAAGCAAAGTAAATGTTAAAAAGTTGTAGAAAGTGTACACACATGGAAACAAAGTTGGAAACCAGCTCTGAACTAAGAACACCCCTCTGAAGTGCCACTAAATATAATGAACTGTGTTAGGCTACAAGGATCAGATGCAAAACAAAGTAATTAAAGTAGTATTTAGCTTACTTTGTATGACAGTTTTTTGATAAAATACCTAGTTTCAAAGCAAATCAACCAGAACAATACTTACTACTTGATTTTGGGCCCAAATGGACACCACTCCACTAGAAATAGAAGCTATGATGGGTCGAACTGGATGCCACTAAATTGTAATTTAAGAGAGAGAAGAATTGTTTGTGAGAACAGATGTAAGCCATTCTAGAGTGTGTGCCACCAAAGCAATGTCCTGCCCTACTCACAGCCACATCCAGCAGGAGCTCCCCTCTGGTCCCATGCAAGATCTTCACCAGGTTGCCAATGCTCTTTTCCCAGATATACAGTGCATGCTGCCTTGCAGAGCCTGCCACGATGTACTCCCCATCCCCAGAGAAGCAACATTTTTTCCATGGAGTCCTAAAAGACAAAGAGCATCCCCAAGAGAAACTGGAACAGGAGCCCAGGGAAGGTCAGTCATATGCTCTTCTGGCAACAATACCTACCTATTCACCAAGTCCTGTAGTTTCTGCATGGGCTCAGGCTCTCCATCCCTTCCACACGTTAGAATCTCTCTACCATCATAAACTCTGATTATTCGGTCTGCTGTGTTAATCAGGAAGCAACTACAGAAAAAAGAGGGGTTTTAGGCAAGTCAGAAACCTGTTCCTGTTAACATTTCCTATTGCTACTTCTTAGACCAGTGAAATGGAGAGAAACTAAGAATGTTCAAGATTCAGTGCCCATGTATATCTTCTTGTCACTCCACACCAGTAAAGTAAAAAACAAGTGCTTTATCCTGAGTATCCTCAAGCCTCAGTTAACACTGTCTGGATTGAACCAAGATCCAAGACTACTGAACCAGCCTGGCTTAATCCACATCCTATGTAATGTTCAATAATCACATACTTCATTTATCTGGTCTGTTTTAAACACAGTATGACTGTTTATGTATCAATAAGCTAAGTGTGTATTTTTAATGATGTTTATTTACTTGGGACTGAGGGTGCAAGTCAGTTTTAGAGCACTTGTCTAGCCTGAGGGTGGCCCTGGGGTTTGTTCCTAGCACTGCTGAAAATAAGGGCATTATTTAAGATCTTTACTCAGGTCTATGTACTAGGCACTTTGATTTTTAAGCAATGATACTTAAGCATCTTTCTGTAACGGAACTGCCTGATAACCTTCCAACAACAAAAATGTGACTACTGGTCAGTGAGGGACATTTTATGAACCTAAAAACTAGACAGTAAGCAATTCTAACAGCTTTAATAAAATGTATAAATCACACACACTGCAATAATAATTATTAACATAATGATTAATAAATTAAAAATAGATAAATAAATGCAAGTTATTATTTGCATTCCATCACTAAAAAAACAAAAAACCAAAAAAACCCTAAAGCAAACCTGAGGCCTCATTGGGCATGTTAGTGCCATTATCTCTGCACTCAGAGAGCTGAGGTAGAAGAACCACAAGACTTAGGCCAGCCTGAATAGTGATGAGATTCTGTTACAAAAATTCCATATACATAAAGAGGACAAGGCCTTACTCACCTCCCCTTCCGGGCAAACTCAATTGACTTAATGGCTGTAGTATTGCTTGTTCCCGTTGTTACTCTGAAGGAAGCAACAAGATCCTGAGAGTCTGTTTTTAGGACCAAGATCTGAAGTTTACAGAACAAAAATAAAAAGTAAATATTCTGATGACTAATAGTAATTAGATTTGACTTGTTTTTAAACTGTGAAGAGACCTGGTAACAATTCAAATATCTCTATTCCTATATATTTAATCTTATTAACGGATACTATTTTTTACTTCTTTCAATAGAGTCTTAACCACTTACTCTGAGAACATGTTTGACATTATTCATAAGAGCTATCAAGTGGAAACAAACCATTTGACAGTGACAGACAAATGGGAAAACTGTGACACACAGTACTATATGACTGAACTCTGAAGAGGAGGAAACTTCTGACACACAGTACAACAGTCACCCCAAGGACACCGTGCTGTATGAGATATGCTGGTTGCAAATGAGGAAATTTATTATCCCACTTCCATAAAGTGCTTACAGTGGTCAAATTCAACAATAGGACACAGAATGACTCTGCCAGGGCCTGGGGACAGACTCCCTAATAGTGGTTCAATCTGCAAGATAAAGGAGGTCTGCAGAGGATGGTCGTGAGGCTGGAATGCATGGAGTACCACTGAGCTTAACATTTTAAAATGCTTACAAGGATAAGGTTTGTGTGTAACTTCTTTATATATATATTATTTTTATCCTGAGGATAGAACCCAGGACCTCACTCATGGAGGCAAGTACTCTACAGCTGTTAATAAATATATCTTAATGACAATTTTAAAAAGCTGCTACCAGAAAAAACAATGTACTGCTCCCCAAAAAGTCTACACTTCCAAACATTCTAAAGGGCAAGTTGAAGGGGAAAAAAAAAGATGATAGTCTGAGGACTATAGGTTAAAATAGCTTGAATTATACCACGTTTCTCTGTGTGAGTGTGCATGTATATGCATGTTTATTCTGTTTTTGTTTTTTGTTTTTTTTTTCTGGTTTGGTTGGTTGGTTTTTGCTTTTTTTGTTTTTCACGACAGGTTTTCTTTTCTTTTTCTTTTAAAAAGAGATATATTTATTTTATTTATATGAGCACACTGTAGCTGTCTTCAGACACACCAGAAGAGGGCGGTGGATCCCATTACAGATAGTTGTGAGCCACCATGTGATTGCTGGGAATTGAATTCAGGACCTCTAGAAGAGCAGACAGTGCTCTTAACCGCTGAGCCATATCTCCAGCCCCCATGAAAGGTTTTCTATGTGTAGCCCTGGCGGCTGCCCTGGAACTCACTCTGTAGACCAGGCTGGCCTAGAACTCACAGACATTTGCCTGCCTCTGCCTCCTGAGTACTGGGATTAAAGGCACACATTGCCTCCCACCCAGCTACTTATAGAAAACTGGGTTTTCTATAAGTAGATATTAAGATATTCTCATCAGTGTGTTCCAGTTGCAACATTTAAATATTCTCTTCACTACTACTAATGGTCAAGAACATTCTGTCCTTTCCTTTTTGCTCTTGCTGGGGATTAAACTCACAGACTTATGTGCACACAAGACTTTACAACTAAGCTATTCACCCAGTCTTTTTTTTTTTTCCTCTCTCTTAGTTTCTTCAGTCTTGCTATGTAGTCCCAAACTAGCTTGGACCTTACTATTTAGTTTAGATGGTCTTCAAACTTGGAGTAATCCTCCTGTCTGTGCTCCCCAAGAGCTAGAAGAATTATAAAACAAGCCACCACACTGTCTCCATCCTTATCTATCCATCCATCAAATAATCTGTTTACTCTAATTCAAAGTACAGAAATTATTATCAAGGCATGAAAGAAAACTTAGCTACATTTAAGTGATGGATTATTCCAGGGTTAACAGAAACTTAAAGCAGAAAGAGCAAGTAAGAGTCAAGGCAGACACCTGGTTTTCCTCACTAACTTCATAGCTTACCTTGCCCTTTGCATTTCCTGTATAAATATATTCCCCTCGCCTATCAAAAGATGCCACCACGTTCAAATCCGAGTCATCGTCTACCGGCAGAACAACATGTTTGGAATCTGAAAGGGTCAACATGACAGGAGCAGATTTCATGGGACACACGAGAACCTTGTTCCTGTTTAAAAATATGAACACATATTGGCTATTGCTTTGGCATCAGCAGATTGAGTCCCTGTCCTTCCTCCCTGATCCTTGACTACTTTCCTCACTGGCTCTCCCAGCTCCAACAAATGTGAAATGGTGAAAACACTATCTACAATCTAATAACAGACTCAGAGTATGAAGCCTAGCTTGACAAATGAAGGCTGGTCATTAAAAATATTCAGTAAACCAGTAAGATACTTAATAAAGTAAAAACAAAATACTGATTTTAGCTATGTTAGCAGATGTATGTGTATATATATCAGACATGGCCCAAGCCTGAGGCACATATGATGAGCAGCATACCCACAGAGTAGACTATGGGAGATCCCCGAGAAATGTAAGCTCTGTCTGAATAATGGAATACTGGACTTTTCCTTAAATGTAGTCTTAATATGAAACTGCTTCTTCATTCTAAAGAAGTCTAATGAATGAAGGGGCCAGGGCCCCTTATACATTATTCCTACCTTTGGTCATTTCCAAAGTCTTACTAATGATCAATTACAATCTCCTTACAATACATTCAGTAGACCCAACCTAGACAGAAGATGACTTTATATTGCTTGAGAAGGTGTTGTGTTTGCCTCTTAAAACCTTAATCTGAAGGTATCATAGCCCAGAGCTAATCCACTCAGAAATGAGACCCCGCCCTAGGAAAGGAATATCTTAAACATACTGATCTCGAGGATGATATTGGACTTTTAAGATGGGTGAAGGGAATCGAAACCTCTGGTCGCAATCTCCTGAAAGAACATCCCACTGTGACACTATGTTATCTGTAGAAGCACTCACGAGTTTATGACCATCTCGACTCCAACTAGGGGAAAAAACAGAGGTGGATTTAGCACATGGTATAAGGTAAAGTATTCATACCATTACTATGGATAATATGTTGACCTAAATGCACAGGTCAACATTTTTAAAAATACAATCAAATCTAAAACAAACTTTCTTAACTAATCAACAAACATTTCCATGACTTTCTTTTTTATTTTTGTCCCTTTCCTGAGACAAAGTCTTAGTACATACCCAGAATGATCGGGAACTCATGATTCTCCTGCCTTTATTTTCCAAGTGCTGGGATTTCAGGTACTATCATGCCTGGCTCTTGTACTATCTTTACATACAGTAATATTACTACTTCAAAATAACACTACAGTTAGCACCATGAAATAACAGATGAACATCTTGTTAAAGTTCCCAAATCAGTTGACTTTTAAGACCATGAAACACAAAAAGGGTTTGAGGAGGACTTCAGAACTGAAGAGCATCTCAACTTCCAGGACCACAGCACCAACAACACAAAAAAAGACAAACTATCATCGCCAGCAAGGTCTCGACAGCTAGACTTCTACCCTACAATCCCAGTACTCAAGAGGTGGGGGAAGGAGGAGCCTGAGTTCCAAGACAGCCTGGGCTACAGAGACTATTTCAAAGGCAAAAAGAATGGAAATTAAGAAACAAATAATTATTAAATGCAGCCACATTAAGCACACTAGACATCCTGTTAAAGACTGAAAGGTGGAATGACTCTTCATGTGGCCTCAACAACTAGAGCAGAGAGAGGCTCTCCCTAAAGCTGGAGCCTAACTTGGTATCCTGTTCTCCAATAGGGCGGACTTATCTTTCCTTAGTGGGAGAGGATGTGCCTAATCCTGCAGAGACTTGATGTGCCAGGATTGGGGGATACTGTGGAGGGCAGGGTGCACCCTCAGAGGAGAAGGGGAGGGGAGTGGAGGAAGGCACTCTTATGAGTGGTTACTGGGAGAGGGGATAGCCTTTTGGATGTAAATAAATACAATTTTAAAAGAAGGTAGACTTAAGTTCCTGAAGTTTCTGCTGGCCTCACATATCCCGGACTGGCTGAAGAAGCTAACGCCTGGATAATGCCAATGGTTACACATAATCCTCCTCTTTTCCCCACCCAAGAAGACCCTGCTCTCCCAAGGTGAAGGATCAGGAAAGGAGAGTCAAGGGGGCAGCAAGAGAGAGAATCTATGTGAATGTTAAAAAAAAAAAAATACTCCACTCCAGTCAAACCCCACAGAAAACCCGGCATCTACTCTGTCCTCGCCAGCACCAAGAGACAGCTAGACTTATACCTGACCCAGCTCTAAGGAAGCATCCAGGTGCTGCCACAGACAACTGAGTGGAGATGGTTTCCTTAGTGAGCACTCACTACCACAGTGCCTGGAGGCCAAATGGAAGGAAAAATCAGGGCCTTCTTGTCCTTCTCAAATAGGATGTCAGCAGGACCCACGGAGTCTCCACTTCCAACCCTACCAGCAGCTTATGCAAAGGTGTAAAGAAAAAAAAACTTAAGAAGGGAACCCTGGAACTGAAAATATAACAACTCAAAGTAAAAGTTCAATTGAGGAATCCAGCAGTCAATGGAGCTGGAGAAAGATAAGAAACAGTAAACTGAAAGAATAAAAATTACTCAATTTGAATAAGAGATTAAAAACAGTTAAGTGAGTGGGAGGGACACAGTCTCAGGGATCCCAGAGACAAGAAATAATCTGATACCTGAGTCCTACAAAGAATAGATTGTACCTTTGAAGTATTTGAAGAAATAAAAGCTACATTTCTCTAAATATAACAAAACATAAAACCTACTGTCTGAAACAGGTGACTAAAATCAAACAATATAAGCCAAGGAAACCATTCCAGGAGCTAAGGACATATCTTAGTTGGTAGAGCTATTGCTTAGCATGCAAGAAGCCCTAGGTTCCATTCCTAGTATTGGGACAGGAGAACACACTTGTAATCTCAGCACTCCGGAGATAAAGGAGGATTAGATGAGAAGTTTGAAGTCATCCATAACAAGTTTAAGGCCAGTGAGCACACAGACCATCAACAGCAGTCGTGAGAAACTCTCCTTTGAGTTGCTGCTCAGGGCTGTCCACAAGACTCCCAAAACATTATAGGCCATTGCTATTGTCCTTGGTTACCCCCAGAGATGGAAGCAAGTCCCTACTGGTAAAAAGGCCATGCACTTCAGACATAATGCACAGAGATCTGTCCATAGTTAGAACTGATTTGAAAACCTCCTCACTTAGGATTGGTTCTCACAATACCAGAAAGCACCATGTAAGCTTCCGAAGGAGGGAATTAGCCAATAGTCCCTCCTAGCTATGGCAACCATGAACCACAATAACAACCAGCATGGCTGATAACTCTATAGTGGCATGCATATCTTGGGAGTAACCAACAGCTCTCTAACTGGACTAAAGCTTGGTCAACAAGAAGGAAATCATGCCTGGTTCTGGAAACCTAGCCAACTACCCAGAAATAGAGAAGTCACAGATCTTGGATGAGAACATACAATTGCCTCTTTACTAAACCAACATAACCACCACCGACATTCTAAATATTTATCTTTATACCCACAGTTAAGTGTAGTACTCGACTCTCATCAAGGAAACTTCTCTTTGCAACATATGGAGACTATTAACAGAAAACTGCAACCAATCAAAATGCAAAGTTGTGGAGCCCAGGCCTAACTGATCCATCTACAACATAACTCCTGCACCCAGGGCTATGGGCACATTGTGGAAAATGGGGTAGAAACATTTTAAGAACCAAAGGAACAGGGAGTTTGCTGTGATACTGTGTCTCCTAGGAATTTCAGAAGCTACACCCAGAAAGTTTTCAGCAACATAATACCTAACAGGGACTGAATAAAGACAACAATAGGCATGCTAATGTGAATGGGAAAGGCTGGCAACGCCTCAACTACAGACAATGGACTACAGGCAACTAAAGGATGCTGAGAACAAAAATCCTCCTTAGGAAACAGCACAATAAATGGTTATCACATACTAAGTGGTCAGCCCTGAAAACAAATACATTCAAGTAACATTACATCGATTGAGCAGGTTGTATTTACATATTTAGGAATATATACATATACATATGTATATATACACATATATACACATATACTTACATACATGTACAAATATTTTTTTAAAAAAAGAGGCTATGAATTTTAAAGAGAGCAAGGGAAAGCGATACATGGAAGGGTTTGGAAGGAAGAATGGGAAGGGGTAAATGATTTAACTATAACATCAAAAATAAAATAAAAATAAAAAATTCCAAAACACAAATTATGTTGAATGTAGAAACGTTCTCAATCTTAAATCTTAAAAGTAGCACTAGGGCTGGATAGTGGTAGTGCACGCCTTTAATCCCAGCACTCAAGAGGCAGAGGCAGGCAGATCTCTGAGTTTGAGGGCAGCCTGGTCTACAGAGTGAGTTTCAAGACAGCCAGGGTTACAGAGAAACTCTGTCTAGAAAAACAAAACAAAATAAAACAAGTGGTAATAGGAAAATGACACCCCATCTATAGATAAAACCATGACATAAAGACAATTTCTCATTAAAAAACTACAGAGATCAAGAGTCAGGCATGGTGGCATATGCCTTTAATCCCAATACTCCTGAGGCAGAGAGACAGGAGGATCTCTATGAGTTGAAAACCAGTCTACATAATGAGTTCCAGGACAGACAGGGTTATGTAGACAGACTGTCTAAAAAAACAACAGAGGCTAAACCAAGGTCTCTAAACAGAAAGAAAAAGATAGAAACATCAACTATTAGTTTGGTTTGTCTTGTGCCAATTACAGTGTATGTAGAGGAAATGTGTGAACTAATTATATTTTAGACAAGGGAGGCAACAGAAGGAAAGAAGGTAAGGGCACTGTACTTCATCTGAACTGTTGCAAAGTCAACCCTGGGGTATTGTGGTAAATCAGGTATGTAACATTGTATCTAGTAACCACTAGAAGGTACACAAAGGAACACTTTAAGTCAATCAATACAAAGCCCTAAAAGAAGGCAGGAATCAGAGAAAAGAAATATAGAACAAACATAAAGGAATATTAGCCCAACTGTGGGATGAAAAAATGCTTGTTATTGAAGAATTTAGCAGGCAATATAAGAAGAATAGAAGCTCACAAATCACACTTCTGCTCAAGCCTAGACATTACTACCTTCTAGCTGAGTGATCTTAGGGAAGTATTTGGCTTTTCTGGGCTTCAATTCCCCATTTATGACAGGAAAGATAAAGTCTTTACTTATAAAGGACTATTGAGAGAATTAGAGTATATATATATATATAAATAAAGTTCTTAAGCCAATGCCTGGCATAAAAGGAGGGTTCAGAAATATTGATGATAATCACTTGTATCAGAGATGAGGCATTTATTCCTAGATTCTAGACTCTGGGGACAAATGATAGTAGAAATAAACTAAGGGTTTAAGCATGGGGGTCTAAGTTCAAGTATATACACAGAAAAAGTGGGGTACCTTTCCCACCAGTTCTAAGGGCAACACCTGCAATTAACACTGGGGTCCCAAGCACACAGGCATCCATACACACAGACATGAGGCCACACACATGCCAACATACCTACACACATGCACATAAAAAAGAAAAAAAGGGAAAGAAGCATGGGGCTAAAGGTATTTATGTAATTCATTAGTAAAATGTTTACCAAGAATGTATATGATCCTGGGCTGAATCTCCAACATCACACACACACACACACACACACACGTAAATCAAATCAAGTAAAATCAAATCAAATCAAATCAAAATTTCTTACCACAAAGAACAGACTGGATGGATGTGTGCACTAATTATTTTAGCAATGCCTCTTGTCAAGAAATCCCAAATAACAATTCGGCCATCGTTACAGCCAACAGCAAGCAGTGTGCCCCACCTGTTAAAGGTGCAAGTCAGGGCCATGCTGATGCAATCCAAAGTTCCATCAGCTTCCTATAAGACAAATAAAGAAATATACAGAAGGGGTCTTGGTCATAAAGGACAATACATATAGAATGATTTCTGTAAGTGTTCATACACTTTTAAATTGGCTAAAAGGAACGAATAATTATAAAAGCGAGCAAAAACTTTTGGAAACAGTCATGATCAATCTCTTACTTAAATGGGTATAATAATGGACCTCTGTACTTTGCGGTCAATGGGCAGAGTATTATAGAAGTTACTAGAAGAGTTCTTTGATTACAGGAAATTATAAAAGCTATGAAATAGCCTGTGTTTCTGACATTAAGAAAATTACATTATTTTACATCAGTGCCAAGTCTTAAAAAATAACCACAATGAAGCACAGGAAATCTTACAGGTATACAACTACAGTGATCATTATTACTATGTAAACACACTTATCAAAACTTGTAAAGCACTCACAAAAAAGTTCCTGCACAGATGATGGTACTGTTTGTTTAAAAAGTCCTTCTGTTTAAGTTGTGAATATTTTTTCCTTTTATTTAAAGAAACGTGAACCTCAAGATTTAAAAAAGTACTGTGAGATTTCCAGCCAAACTTGTACATTACCTCAAAGTTATACTCCATTTTTACCATAGCAATATGTGTATGAGAGATTTAATTATTTGTCACCAAACAAATAAAAGGCAGTCACCATTTCTCACATATAACAACAAAACTAAACTCACCTCTGGATAGTTCTGCCCAAAGGACTCTGCAACAAGGCAAAGAAAGAAAGGAGATGAAACATAAGTCACAAACAAAGGTCCACACAGCCCATCAACAGCACACAGCAGCACTGGCCAAGTGTGGGTGGGAGGCTGACACATGCTTAGGGGCTCCATGGGGTCACACTACTCATCACCACAGGCAGATGGCATTTGCCTTTTACTTCTGTCATTTCCTAAGCGTGCAGTACAGTGTTTCTGAGGCTGTAATACAATAACAGGAGCTGTGTGCTGACAAGGTGAGCCTACCATAAGCATCTGCTTAAGGACCTCAACAAGAAGCCTCTGGCTCTGAGTTTTGCAGCCATAAGCCTTTAGATCTCAAGCATTAGAACTATAAAACTGTGAGTTCAGAACACTCGGCCACTAGAATGCAGACTCACCAACTGTCCTCAAAGTCTACCCTATTTTCTTGTCATAGTCCTACTTGACAAAAACCCCCAGCCAGTCCTTACTAGCACATACAATTATGAAAGAAGGGAATGGATGCAAATGCTGAACTGTATCCAGAAAAGTGTTCTTGAATATCGTTTTTAAAGTGACTAAAGTAGAACATGTGTTACAGAGATGTGCAGAGCTGGGGCTGGAGAGGTGTCTCAGTGGCTAAAGTGCTTGCAGGGTAACACTGAGACCACCACCTGAAAAGGAAAACACTACAGACATTACAAAGTGACTTGCTTCTTTCATTTACTAACATAGCTGGTGTTTCTTTCCCAATCAATAGATTACATTCACATGATTGAGAAGTAGACAAAATGCATACTCATTCAAACATAAAAAACAAAAATCAGGGCCAGTAAGATGGCTCAGTAGGTAAAGGGGCTGAGAGTCAAGCCTGCAGCCCTGAGTTTGATTCCCCAGGACCCATAAAGTAAGAGAAAACCAGCACCCACAAGTTGTTCCTTGACCTCCACATGCACCCCCCCACACACCCACATTTATTTATTTATTTATTTATTTATTTATTTATTTAATGTATGTAAGCATACTGTAGCTGTCTTCAGACACACCAAAAGAGGGCACTGGATCCCACTTCAGATGGTTGTGAGCCACCATGTGGTTGCTGGGAATTGAATTCAGGACTTCTTGAAGAGCAGTCAGTGCTCTTAACCACTGAGCCATCTTTCCAACGCCCTACCCCACACATACATACATTTTTAATGTAAGTTTTTATAATCATCTGGAGTTCAGAGTCTCAAAATCCATGTAAAGGGTAAAAGGCCTGGTGTGTATACAGGGGAACTGGACTGGCAGATAGATGCCTGCTACTGGCCGACCCTCTAGCCAATCAGAGACCTCCAGATTCAGTGGCAGATCCCATGTCAAAAATGGAAGGGGAAGACACCCAATATCAACCTCTGGTCTCTATATACACAGTAAACAGAATGTGTACCTGTACACACACAAACAGGAACACGCACCATTTACACGTAAGATGTTTCGTCACAAAACAAAAATTGTAAAATTGTTAAGAAAGGCATGGTTATGAGCATCTTTACATCATCCCAGCACTTGGGAGACAGGCAGGACTGAGTCTGAGAGTAGCCTGAGCTGTAGAGTTTCAGCCAGTGTGGGCGACTACAAATTCTACATTTTACCTCAGTCAATCCTCTCAACTCACTACTTAACAGGCATTATCATACTTCATTGTTATAGATGAAAGCTAGGCATAAAGGGTAAGTCCTACAGTTTAAAAAAAAAAAAAAAAAAAAAGCAAGACCCTGACCTGACCCAGAAACAATGCCTGTGCCTAAAATGTAACTCCTAGAATCTTGCCCAGGAGGTCACTAACTACTCTGATTTATAAACCACACCCGCTTTTTCCTGAAAATCTAAGTGTACTCCATCTCTCTTTCAGCACAGCTAATGTTCCCACTTTCCTCAAATCCTCAAGGATCATCAACAGTGATATCATTCACAAGCTCTTTTGGGGACCAAGGAAGTGAACAACAATTAGCAAGGTGAGCTAAGAAACCTACCTAGATTCTTTATCTAATGAGAACTTTTCTGGCAACAACCTATTCATTTTATTCTGCTAGTTCCAAAACACTGTCTATTTGCCATAGAACCAAAGAAAAAGAAAGAATTTTACCATCTAGTTAGCCTTTCCCTATACAGTTCACAGCGGGCACACATGAGTTATTTATCAGAGTACTGAATGAGTAACTGTTGTCCCTTCCAGCCCAAGACTTCTTTGTTCTCCATGTTTCATAAATGCTGACACCTTTTCTTGTCTCCTTACTCTTACGATCTTGGCTTTGATTGCATTAGCTTTCCTCCCTCTGTCTTTAAAACCATGTGCTACTACCTTCAAATCACCACCTTCCACTATGGACTCTCTTTGTACCTGCTTTTTTGGAATCTGAGTTCAGTTAGCTTCTAGTGCAATGTCATCCGATTCTTCAAGCACTTCCTCAGGTCTTCTCCTGTGGGATCCTTGCTTCAAATGGCCTTGGAGCAAGCAGTCCAGGCGTCTCCCATCATGAGGGGTAAAGTCTTCATCTACTTCAAGATTTGGCTGTCAGGAGCTTCTTTCAATAGTCCTATTTGTTTTCTAATTGCCAACAATTTCCTCCCTTTCATACCAGTTTGAGATCATAATAGCTGGTCTATCTAGACCATTCTGCTGCCTTTAACAGGTGATGGTTCTGTCAGTATTTCTTTCAGAGAAATTCAATTTGTAGGTGTCTAGATAGCATGCACCATTCCACCTTTCTAACAGGACCACAACTGTTACATTGCCTTGGATCTAGTCTTGCCTCCCAAGATCAATCTTTCCAACAACTTGCAGGTCTAACTTCACCCATAATTGTACCTTTGCTGAAAAAAAAATAAATAAAAAATAAAAAAACCAAAAACAAAAAATTCTTTAAGCATAACTTTGAAAAGCAAGCTCAGCCTAGCTCTGGCCAGTATTTTTCACTTTGGATTCTGTCTTTGTACTATCAGCACCTGTGCCAGAATGTAAATTAGCCATGCCCTGATTACCAGCTGTAGAATACACCATTTCCTGTACTCATTCATTCATGTATGTACTCAGCCATACCCTCATGCATGCCTAGGAGTGTTTGCTTCACAGAAAGCTCCAACTCTTTTTGTGGGTTGGCATCTCCATCTCAGTAAACTTCCCCAAATTTTACAACAATCCCATCAACAGAGCACAATAGCTGCTTTCATATGCCTCCCCCACACTGTAGTCATATATTGTAACTCTGCATTGTACAGAATTATTTGTTTCTTTTTTCCTGTTTGTGTTTTTTATCCAGGGTAGAAAGCAGTATTATCTTATTGTTTTCAGATGATACAAGTCAATCTACTGAAAATGAATTAATCATCACAGCCCATGAAAACAAGTTTTTAAGAAGAAAATAGATTAGAGCAGGAAATATCAGAAGATAATGAACAAAAGGATTAAATATCATTTCAAAAAATTCTAGGGCTGGAGAGATGGCTCAAGAGGTTAAAAGCACTTGCTGTAAAGCATGAACCCGAAGTTCAGATCCTGGCACACACAGAAGTCCAGCACTGCCCTGCTCAGGCTAATAATCCCAGCACTAAAGGGGGCAGAGATAGGAAGGGGTTTGCTGGCTACCAGTCCAACTGAGAAGCATGAGCTCCAGGGTGATAGAAAAGATTCTGCCCTCAAAGAAGGAGAGCAAAGACTGACGAAAGTCAATCCATCACTCCTTTCTCTGGCCTCTTGAGTGCACAAACACCCACACACATCCACACAAACATAGGCATACACCACAGACACACCCATGCCAGAAATAGTCTAACTACACAAGTCACCTGAGTGGCACATCCCACAACCTAGTCTATCCTTAGCTTCCTTTATCTGGCCAGATGTCCTTCACTGTGTAACTATTCCCACAATCATATCACCTCTGTTCTTTCCTGCTTATATACAATCACTAACTTTCTCACTTTAAAACTCAGTCACTTCTACAAGAGATTTCCTCTTTGGAGACCCAGATCTCTTTTTAATTGCTGAATCAGTCAATATAAAATATTCCTAAGTTTCCCCTTTATGAACCTTCTGAATCATTCAAAGGAACTTTCTCCATGACGCACACTGCTAACTCTTTCAAAGGACTATTAGCTTTTCTCTTTTCCTCTGCTAAATACGGATCATCTCTCTTGGTCTCTACTTCTCCCACACCCTCCTAAAATCACTTTCATCTTAGACTGCTAAGGAGTGCAAGCTGCCCAGAGATGAAATGGAGCAGGCTGTTCTCAGCTTTCAGACTCAAGTGCTGTCTTGACACTCAGCTGATGTCTATGAAAGGAACTGCTAACTTGTATCCTCTCCTAGATGCTATACCTGGGGAAATATATGGAAGGCACCTGAAAATGTGCTTAGCTCACAAAAGCACTGCGTATGTTAGGTAAATTATAGTTATTTGCTCATCATTTTCCTTCCAGGTAAATACCCAAAGATGTTGTCCCTGACAATTTTCTGCCCCTCTCATCTTTTCCCTTCCACCTATTCACACCGAGGCACAGGGTTTCAATAAGCCAAAACAAATGGTGATCATAAGTCAAGACTCTAAGCTCTCGGTCTATATCCAACATATCCAAGCTACCTTTCAAATATCCTTGCATCTCATTAACCCAGCACCATTATTTTGTAGTTCATTTTCTCATTACCAGTATACTCAAATCCTGCCTCCTCAATGTTTTTTCTTTCCATGTTTCAGTTCACAAATGTCACTCAAACACTGTGGTCTTCCAGACGGGTTTTATATTGTCTCAACATTCAACTGTGCATTATTACTGTTAGAAAAACGTTATAAATCAGTGCTCCCGCTGAGTTGTTGATGGATCTGCCCTATCTTCCTTAAAAACTAAACTGACCAACCTGGTATCCACGAGCCTCCACAAAATAAACAGCACCAATCTGAACTCTTGGTTATCTCTTTATTACAATATCCACATTTTGGCAAAGCAGAAAAATGATCTCACTGAAGGGCTGCAGAGATGGTTCAGCGGTTAAGAGCACTAGCTGCTCTTCCAAAAGTCCCAGGTATGATTCCCAGAACCCATATTGTAGCTCAAAACCATTTGTAACTCCAGTTTCAGGGGACCTGACTCTCCTGGCTTCTGTGGGCACCAGGCACATCACTGGTGAACAGCTGTACATACAGACAAAACATCCACACACATAAAATAATAGATTAAAAATTTTCTCATTCGTGTCTTTCATGCACGCATGCTCCAAAAAGCCACTATAAAGACAAAGGACACTTTAAAAATTATCTTTGTAGCAGCCAAGCCATGTAGGAGTTCTTGAAAACAGAATCGCCATGCTAAACATTACCTCATGGAAGGTCATTAGAAAAGACCAATGTGGATAAGGGGTTGGAAGGCAGTGATTTTAAAACATAGTGAGAATAAAACAACTGCTCGTGTAGTTCACATTTCGGGGGATCTACACCTCCCTACGGTTAAGGACCTTAAACTGGCAGTCAAGATGACTGGATTCCAAATGCCAACTACTCCACTTAGTGCCGAATCACAACACTCTTGCCCTTTAAAAAAAACAAAATCTGGTTAAATAACACGTTTCCAGTAAGAGTTATCCTATCTAGGCACCGGATCCCCTGACAGGTCTTCAAAACTGACCCACCCTAGGTCACTCTTCCTCAGACTGCATCTTCAAAACTCTGGTCCTGTCTAATCTGTTACTTCAGCACCTGTGATCTTCGAAATCACAGCTTGGACAAAAAGTGCCTCAATGACTCCATAACTGATCTGAAAGCGGTTTCAGAAAAGTAATGCATTCTTCTCGGACAGAATCTGCTGCAACTCCACATCACGAGTACTCAATGAATCATCTCAGAAGAGTGTCCCTAAGGTTGCAGCCTGTGGTCCCTCCCGCCCAGGTTCCCTCCTTCCCAGTACCAAAGGGTTTGCTAAGACGCAGCCAAGCCCTCCTCACCCAGCAACTCGAGGTTCATCCCTGCAGACGCTGGCCGCCGTGTCTCCGAACCCGCAACAGTTCCTTCTCCCCCACCCGCTCAGAAGCCCCGCGTCTAAGTGGGGGGCGCCGCGAAGAGCCTGTCGCAAGCTCCGGAGACTTTCGGACTTAGAAGGCCCCGCGGCTTCCGCTTTCCTCCCCCCGCCTTCCTTGTTCGTTTTACGTAGCTGTCCACATTTATCCCTAATTTTAAAAAAGATTAAACGCTCTTGTAATCAACCAATTATAATATTATTGAGGTATAAAAAATTTTATAGTAAGTCGGAACTCTAAAAAGTACAAGAATGTAAAGCTTTTCTCTCCGGGAGCATATAACTGAGCAAGAAATTTCAGGCATATCACTAACCCACTAATACTTACTGTGCTGTGTGCTCCTTTGGTTGTCCCGGCAGCTGGCTGAGACTCCGCAAGAAAAGTTCCGGGCAATTCTTTCTAAGGCAGGAAAGCGGGGGAAAGGTCGGCCCCTTGTGCCGGAGTGTTGGAGCTCGTGCTGCCTTGGCTCCCCGTGCTATGCGTAGTATAGTTACTCTGTGTCTGACTTAGTTCCGTGAAGATTATGTCAGGTCTCTAAAAATATTCCATACATCACAGAAAAAGGTACGATAGCATTTGTTAGGCTTTTTCCTGCGGTATTACTGTGTACACACGTCGATTAAGGCACAGGAAAATTGTCAAGAGAGATGGATTGAGTGCCCCACAGTTCTGTCAGACTTGATGTACACGGAGCAATTAGAAGACCAGCTGATGGTAAATAATGGGCTTGGAGTGGGAAGTGTTTATCCGACTGTAGATGTGGGCAAGTCAAGCTAGATTCCCCTGTATAGATATAATGACAGTAATCTAGAGGTCCTCTTAATTGATACCATCCTTGTGGGTATTAATCCTTTCCTTATGTGTAAAATGAGAGTGATAATCATACTACCTAGAGAATCATGAGGATTAAATGAGTTAGCATACAAAGCGCATAAAATATCAGGTGATAGCAATTATTAGCCATTATTTATCAGTTACTATTTCCTAAATATGTCTTTCTTGTAGCTGTTTGACCCAATAACAGTAACTGAAGCTCAGAGATATTGGACAACTTTCACTCCTTCACGTATCCAATTATTCCAAAATGCTATCCAAATATTATACTACCAGAAATAATTTATACAAGTATTTCTGCACTTCTCAAGGTGATTTATTATCTAGTCTCTTCAACTGTACCCACTGGCTAAGTGAAAAAGAAAACAACACATTGTTCAACTTATTTAATAATAGTGACAAACTTTTCCCATGCATATGTGTTTATTTTCTCTTCTGTAGGCAGTCTGTTGGTGTCCCTTGCCAATTTTTTTTTTTTATAGAACATGCATTTTGGAAAATTTTCAAGGAGGGAATAATATGATCAAGTTAATGTTTAAGAAATAAATTTCCTACCCAACCTTGTAGCACATACATGTAATCTCAGCTCTCAGGAAGGAGCCTGGGCTATATAGTGGGTCCTGGAGTGAGAGAGAAGAAGGAAGTAAGATTAGACGGGTTGGGGTTTTTGTAGTTGCAGCAGCAGAAGCTGCTGCTACTGCTGCTGCCGCTGCTGGTGGTTTGCTTTGGTTTTGTTTTGGTTTGTTTGGTTTTGGCTCTTCTGGTATTGGTGATTGAACCTGACTAAGCCTTACCCACAGAGCCTACCTGTAAGTCTAGCCCTAAAAATCTAACTCTTAAAGACATTGCTGAGTAGGAATTCATGTGAGGGGTGAAAACTTTGGCTGAGTTTGCTGCAGTGACCTGTGGGATGATGAGGATGATCTGAATGCAATCTACAGGAGAGGAGAAAAGCGAGCTCGAGAGAGATGAGGAGACGGAGTTGGAAGCAGCCATTATAATAGCAATTTTTTTTTAATGTGGGAAATAATGGGGGTAATACATCTGACCTGAGCCATGTTTCTACTTTGGGGGCTCCATTTGCTGGTGCATAGGCCATAGAGAAGGAAACAGCTTGTACAAGGCAGGTAAGTTGACCGGAGATGATAAGACGTGGACTTCAAAGAAGTCCAGGTTAAAGATGTATTGTATTTTGTCAATTTTATATATGCATATTTTTTGCATTTAAAAATCTCTGAATTACTGATAGAGCTCGTGTGATTATCCCTCATAATGAATTAGCAGGGGTTGGGGTGTTTTGTTGTTGTTTGGTTTGGTTTGGTTTTTGATTTTTGGGTTTCTGTTTGTTTGTTTTGTTTTTTTGTTTTTTGGTTTTGGTATGAAATACATTGTATACCTTGTAATTCATTGTATTCTACTTCGATGAAAAACTATAATTAGGGGCTGGAGAGATGGCTCTGTGGTTTAGAGCACTGACTACTCTTCCAGAGGTCCTGAGTTCAATTCCCAGCAACCACATGGTGGCTAATAACCATCTGTAATGAGATCTGATACCCTCTTCTGGTGTGTCTGAAGACAGCTACAGTGTACTCATACATACAAAATAAATAAATAAATATTAAAAAAAAAAAGAAAAACTATAATTAGTGGGCTTTGCTTTGTGAGGGATACCCAGAGCTTATTAATACTACTATTTGCCAAAACAAGAGATCTGAAGTTGAGACAGCTGGCGTAGAGAACATAAGTGTATTTGAAAGCTCTCATGTGCTTCTAGCATAGAGACAAGGTTGACAACCACAGCAGAGGGGCTGGGGGTAGTGTCAAATATACTGGCCAAGACAAGGATCAAAGCCTCTCCCAGAAAAAAAATGTACAACTACAGTCAGTGTTTATTGTCAGAAGAATTACAGATTTACTGTAGTTAAAGAAATGAAAAAGGACAGTTACAACACAGTTCTGAATTCCCCAGAGAGAAGAAAATTGAGAAGGGAAGAAAAGTATGTAGGTAGGTCTGGATGTTGTTCTCTGGAAAACAATGGAAGTACTCAAACACATGCATACATACACATACAAATACACACATACACACAAAGACACACACACATACTTACACAGACACACATACAAACACACAGATACATATACACATACAAACACACATAAACATATACATACAAACACAAATACACACACATACACACATACATTATTATTCCTCAAAGTGTTTTCTGTAGTTGCCATATAATTGAAACAATTGAATGTTTTGAAAAGCAGGGAGCTTGACCTTTTTATTCTTATTCATTCTGCAGAATCTCAAAAATCTATAATCTGTTCTAACTTTTGTTATTTGTTTTCAAGACAGGATCTCTCTATAACCTTGCATGTCTTGGAACTCACTCTATAGACCAGGCTGGTCTCTAACTCAGACCACCTGCCTCTGCCTCCTGTGTGCTGAGATTGAAGACGTGTGACACCGCCGCCCTGCTCTGCCTATTACATTTCTCTGTAAGTAAAAGCCAATTTCTTTGTCAGAAATCCCCAGGAGTTTGTTGTGATCATAATTATGCATGAAGTGGCCATCCATAATTCAGTCTATCAAACCATGGCTACCTCCAATGCTAATTATGCTTTACAACTCCAATTAATTGTTGAAAACATGTTTTATGATTCCTGTTGGGAGCCGACTCCTAGCAGCCATCTCAGGCCATATACCCTGACAAGAGACCTGTTTTCAACAGCCCGCAACAGCTGAGCACACTGATAAACATCTTTGTTTAGTGCCCCCAGCTGCAAGGCACACGTGGTATCCATGGCTACAAGGCACATGACATAGCGCCTTCAGCTGTGTTCCCGTGCTTGTCCACAAGGGCAAGGCACGTGGTAAAGTGTATAAATATCCAAGATTTCCTTTCAATAATAGAGACTTGATCAGACCCTCTGTCTTGTCTCCATTCTTTGAGTCTCTTGCCCTTCCATCCCCACTCTCTCTTGCTAGACTTTGACCTGTGGACCGGAGCAGCCGCTCGGGCCAGGACAAAGTAGCCCCCAAATGTGTGCCAAAATGGGTTGTTATAGATTCCTAATAAGTAAAGTATATTTTATAGATGTTATAAACTATAATAAGAAACCCTCATCTCTCACATTGTGATGTTAAAAGAAAAAAGTAAAGAAATCTATCATTCAAACCTGGTAGCAAAAGTGAAAATAAAATCATTGTAAACTCAGTCTTCCACTAGGTGTACCTGTTCCCACCTCAATCCAGCACTCAGGAGGCCAAGTTTCTGGTTAAAAGCCACCCTGTGCTACATAGTGCATTTTGGCTAGCCTGGACTATAATATGAGACCCCCATCCTTTGGGGATGAGAATGTATCTCAGCCGTAGAACCCTTGCCTACCAATTATGTGTGAGACCCTGGGTTCAGTCCTCAGCACTGCCAAACCAGAAAGATCATTTTGTCTGACTGCCACAGGAAGCTTTAGAAATCTCGAGGAAAATGGCTGGGTTTTTATATCCTTGCAAAGCTAATTTATCAAGAAAGGAATACAAGAAAAAAAAAAACTAATAGCAGTGGCAAATGCCGAAGCACCAAGGGCAGGTGGGCAAGCACCAGGCATGGTGCAAACTGCAGTCCCAGCACCTGGGTGGCTGAAGCAGGAGAAGCTAAAGTTCGGCCAACTTGAGTCATGCTACATAGCAAGATGCTTTCTCAAACAATAAAAGGGAATGAGGAGGTGACAGAGAGAAAAGGAATCTGGGAGGGAAGAAGGAAAGAGAGGAAGAGGAGAGGAGAGGAGAGGCATATCAGAAAGGGAAAGGAAAGCTACCAGGTTTTCATGAGCCCAGATTTTCCATGTTTAAAAGCATCAGCCATTCTCAGCAGCTGCTAGCCCTTCGGGACTTTTGTAGCAGCATATTTTCCTGAAAGTTGGGAGAAGCTAAGGTGGGAAGAGTAAGGAGAGGAAGAAGAGGAAGGAAGAGGAGGAGCTGGGGAGGCAGAAATGTAGGAGCCATGGATGACCACGCACATACCGAGAGCAGTCCTGAGTAACGACTTATATCTAGGTTAGTTAATTGGTTAACACTTCCAATTGTGTGGGCATCTTGATATTTGAGCATTACCAAATATATAAAGCTATTGGATAATCTTTAAACACTAGAGCCTCATTTCTACCGGATACTGCGTGGATGGCAGGATGGTCTGGGCTCAGCCCAGCCTTATGGAGACAGCATGGAAGAATGGCAGAGCCGTCTCCCAAGCTGGTGTCTCGTGGGTGACAGGCCTGGTGTTTCTGGCTGGCCTTTTCTAGCTGTGGCGTGCCCGTGGCCTCTGGGTGCTTCCAGTTGTGGAGCACTTGGCTTCCGGCCAAGGAGCATGGTGGCTTGAACTAGGCAGAGCCGCCACTTAGATGGTCAGCCTGCAATAGCCCCATTTTTTAATTATTAACACACCAGCCATTCAAACTGCTTTGCTTTCTTGCTGGG